AGATGTAGTTGGGCTGCACGGCTGAAATTAGACATTAGAATTACTGTATGAGAAACAGACATACAGCAAAAAAACTTTTCTTGGTCACTATTCAAGGATTGAGCATACTGCACTACAAACCTTGTCAAAACATCGCTTTGCTAAACATCGTACTGTAGACTTGTAATATACCTTCACAATCTGTGCCGTTGAAAACAAAACCGTCTGAACACACACAGCTGAAGTACAGGTACTCCTCCACGCAGTCTGTGTTGGCACTGCAGTTGTTGGTGCCGTCAGAACACTCCGGTAGGGCCACAAGTAGAGCTGGGAACACCGAAGAAGCCAAACCAGTAATGAGGGTTGGAAAAACTCTAATAATGTTTTATAAGAAGGTCTTGATCCTCACAGCAAACATTCATTCAGGAAACGAGACAATATGGCTTCTATGTTTCTAATGAAATGAATGCAAATTACATAGGTTTCCAATGGTCAATTTCACTATACGGAGGTAAAATCCCAAACTTACAAATGTCTCCGAAAGTCGTTGCGTTCCCGTCCACACTTAGAGACCCCTAAACGATCATCATTGGCAGCGTCAAAGACGTTGTTTCTGACTTCGTCCCTGGATGTCTCAGCAAAGTCAATCTGGAGAACCACTCCCGTGTCTGGAGGCCTGTATGTGGTTGGTAAAACATGACCTTTAAACTACTGTAATTCTTACACCATCCACGTGCTGTCAACCTACGGCATGTGAGCAGACAGACAGATAGACAGACAGACAGACAGACAGACAGACAGGCCACGTGCTCCACCATGAAACCATACCTCCTCACCCAACAGCAATGACAAAAAGTAGCGATGAACACGCAGACAAATTGTGTTGTTTCTTACAGATTCATCTTCAGCCTTGCAGAAATTCTTTTTAGGTTTTATGATATGAATATAATGACAGTGACTATAACGTACCGTATGTCAATCACTCTAACGGCAACCACCCCATCCACTTCGTCGACCACCTGTTTATGACAAAAACATCAAAACTCAAAGTCTCATTCATTATTTTTGTCCATAAAATACATGACTCTTTTTTGTTTTCAGTCGTATTCCTCCTTTTATTGCCACATGTATTTTCTATAATTTTAGGCATCTGGGTCCAGAAACATACCAGAATCTCCAGTTGGTTCTTAAGATCTTGATACGCTCTTGAGGAACTGTTCTCGTAGTCTAAGGTAAGGTTCAGTCCCAACACTTTGAAGGAGATGTACTCTGATTCCACAACTGGAAAGGAAGACATTGCATTATGTTAGAAGTAGATATTGTTTGGTACATTTCGACGACCATATCCTTGGATCCAAGACATATCAGGTCAATCCCCTTCCAATCAAGTGAAACTAATCTCCGCCAAGTTATATTGGAACCCATACATATAAACCTAGTGTACCTTATCGCCACCCAAAATAATGCTTCTATCCCAGAAAATGTGAAATCAATCAACATTGCATTCTAAACCACTGAAAGCCTGATAACAAGTAAGAAATTAAAAGTCTTACCTTCGCAGTATGTGCCATTGCCTATAGCGCCCATATTACATGTGCAATAATAAGAGCCTATTGTGTTGGTGCAGGTGGCATTATCATGACAGTCATCAATACCCAGGGCACACTCATCAATGTCTAGTAAAACAAGAGAGTGGACAACATTACTTCCTTGTGCATGATGTGGAGAATTGTCATTGTGCCGACATAGAACAACAAAGGTACCACGGTGTATGATAACATTATCTTATTGTAATCATTAAGACACAATCGAAAAGAAACATTTCAACAGAAGAATTAGATCCTTTGCGTCATAAACGATATATATTATTGTACGGGTGTCACTGACTAGACCTGTTATTTCATGAACGATCGTCATTATCTTGCATTTGAAGTGCCTAATCTGGTCGAGGATAACATTTTTCAGTATAGAAAGTATACAAGATATCACAGTTATTTCCTAGTACAATATTACAAAGTTTACATTGGCTTTCTTTGCCTACCTGCCTATATGCACAGGCCAGATGCTGGCCCCTTGCTCCCCTCTTGTCTGTCACATTAATCCACATTAGATTATAGGTAGGGTATATGTAGATATATTTCAGTGTTTTTAGAAGTATTTTACGTATATTCGTATTCCTATATGGACATGGGAGAAAAGCCCCAGCCAATTAGATCAATAATCTAGTTCTGTACCGTCACACCAGGTGCCGTTGCCCGTGAAGCCGGGGTTACACTTGCAGTCCCAGGAGAAATACGTGTCTGTACAGGTGGCGTTCTCGTGGCAGTCATGTGTTCCAAGGAAGCACTGCTCAATCGCAACCAGGAGGGCTGTGAGTTCACAAGGTAATATTAAGTTATTGACTTTTTTTGACTGAAGGGTGTAGTTTAATGTTGTAAACTATGCCATTAAGTGATACAATATTTTCCAACAGAAGCGTTAGGATCATTATATATTTTTACAAAGACCCAAAACGAAGACCCAAACCGGGGCCTGACCAGGGTGTTTTCGTGAACGAAACAAAATTCATATCAACACTATGTGCAAATAGTACTCATGGTTAGTAAAAAAACACATTTTGGTGTTTTTTTGTCTTTTATAAGACTTTCATACTTTAAGCCCTAAGTACGGCACAAAATCAGTCACTGTAATTGAAATAGGACCATGTATTTAGACAAGCAGTCTTACAGTGATCCCCGATGGTTGTTACGTTAGTCTGTATGGTCAGGTTTCCGAGCTGACCCCCTTTTGTTATGTTGACCACCAAATCCTCCAGCTCTGGCAGAGCAGGTTCCGTCACGTTCACTTCAAATACGGCGACAAAACTGCCATCCCTATGAACAGAAGAACAAGAAAACGTGCGTTTCAGATAGCCTCCTTAGCAGGCCATACTGGACTTTTTGTTAACCCTTTATAGTGAGCTTTTTTTTCTGGCATATCACTTCTATTTGTATAGTAGTCCTTTTGCTGGATTTTTAGGATTTTCGAAACCTTCGGCGTCCTGAATTAACCCATGTCGACATATTTCCGCTGGCTTCCGGCCATATTTTTTAAACGTTTGACATCCTTTCATGCTTCCTGTCAATCTGTCCGCCCCCCATGTGCTGTCAATCTACTCTGTCCAGACACAAACCCACAAAGCAGCCACCAAAACAATACTTCCTAGCCAAGTTTAGGAAGTTAACACCTAAAACACCTATATTGCTGAACACATATATTGCTTAATACAGGGACAAGTTGAAAAGGGATCTTAACAGCACCAACCTTACATCTACCAAGTCCACTGAATGCACCCCGTAGTATATATTGGGCTTATATTGTATTGGTTGGAGTTCAGTTGATACCTGAGTGTACAAAAATGCTGTTAGAGCACGTACCAAACCGTATATATTGTATTACAATAGAATTCACGAATCAAATACAGGTTTGTATAAATCGGTATTAGACGAAAATGTTGTTGCAACATAATTCAATGTGGACAAGAACTTACCATTGGTAAAAGCCAGTTTCTCAGCCCGATGAATGCGTTGGAATTTTGATTCCGGTAATCAGGTAGAAATGGATACCCAATCGCTCTAATGGACACGTACACAATGATGTCCCCTGCATAGAGGTACGGAGGATACAGGCTATATTCATTACAGGACGACAAAGACAATATTATGGGTACAGCATAAATACACGAGGATATCAGCATCATCTAACAAATGGCAACTTACGGACGCAGTATTTCCGGCCGTTCCCTCTTGGATACTTGTCGATGCAGAAGCAGTCATATCCACCGTCAATGTTGTCACAGTATCCTCTCGTGCGATGGCAGTTATCGAGGGTTTCCGCACATTCATCAATGTCTAGAGAAGAACACGAAACCCATTGTATTGATTTCACAGAAAAAGGCAGTCATCGAGGTTAAGTCGTAGAGGCGCTACGTCCCCATTTGAACCTGAGCGAGTTCTCAGGCGTGGTTCTGGATAGTCCACGCATATCTAGAACCGGGTCTGGGGCAAATCTACGTTCTTGGATACGTGCATACTACCCGATGCCTGATCCTAACCCATTCAGGTTGAGGTACTTACCGGTACAATTTACACCGTTTCCCCTATATCCGCTCACGCAGGCGCAGGTGTAAGAACCGTTTGTGTTTGTACAAGTGGCCCAGCGCGGATGGCAAGGTCCGGGCCTATCGTCGCACTCATTTTTGTCTGTGTCAATTAGAAAAACAGCGTTTTAATGTGAGGTTATAGGCATCAACATTGAGGTGAACACAGCTATAAGTTGATGATTAAAAGTAACTCGAAGAGTAGCAAATACCTTCACAGATGACACCATTGCCGTTGTAGCCAGGTAAGCAGATGCATGTGTTGTTGACGCAGGTGGCCCAGACCGGATGACACCGTGAACACCCGTCCCCTGCTGTTTAAAGGTAACAAATATTCAAGTTAAACACGTGTCAGTCCATTGGCTGTAATAAGAATAATAATCGTACTCGACATAAAAGTTTACAAAAAGACAAAAAGTATCCATACCTGTGGTACTCGTTAACTCTTTTGAAGATGTACTTGAGACAGTTGGTGTTGCAGATGACGATATTGCTGTTCTGTTGTCGGTTGTAGTCTAAATAGAGGAATGCCATTTTAGTTTACAATGTAACTATGCAGCCTCCTAGGAAATGTAAAATAGAAAACACAGACACGGACACACACACCTGCATAAAATAGCCATTTAGAAATATGCTGGGGTTAATCCAATCGCAACAGAGTTAAACCTTCTTCCAGAAATGAATAATTTGCTACACTAGCTGACGCAATGTACATAATAGGCGAAATGTCGTTGGAAGTCTGTACCGCCATCTATTCAAATTCTAACCACTTCTAACCCATTGCGCCAGCCGGTTGTATGGATACATGTTGAATTAAAGAAGCCGAGTCTTAAAGAAAGCCGAAAATTCATTTAGGTTGAGGTTTATATCTGCTACGAAGTAATTCACCAACACCAATAAGTTTTCTTGACAAGAACGAAACAAAATGCTGACAAAGCAGTCTATTAAGGGGATATTAATAACACACTGCTACAGCATCTAATGCGGCAATCACCACAAGCGCAAAAGCTTGAATGTAGATTTACGCATCACTTTTTCTGAAAAGAAAACATGAAAAGAGCAGTTCGTTTGGGTGACTGTTTATTGCAATGGTGAGTAGACACGAAGACAGTGATCAGAACCCTATCACTAAGTTGACTCGACTAAGATGAGATAAATACTTACCCTAAAATCTAATATAAAGCCTAACCAAAACCCGATGCGTGAATGCTTACTAGCTAAGGTGTGCAAAGGTGAGAAAATACTTTGTGATGTCCGGCGTGAGAGTGAAGCAACCGTCATTCAACGATAGACAACTATACCGTCTGGAATGGACCGCGGGTCTTTGTTGGTGTTTCCCTCATTGTGGAAGAAGATAATGAGCTAGTTGTTTTAGTTGCACCCACATCTGTGACTACAACTTCAGTTGTTTCAAATTGACTTGTTGGGGAAGTGGTTCCAAGAACAGGGGTAGTTTTATTGACAGAGACCTGTGTCTCTGTTGCTGGGAAGGGCGATTTTGTTGATGTTACACGTTTTGAAGATGTAGTTATTGTGGATGAGCTGATTCCAGGTTTCGTTGTATTTAATTTAGTTCTTGTTGCTTGCGTGGCCGTAGATGTCGACAGAGAAACAGAAGTGTCATTTAGAGAGGTGGGCTCTGTAGAAGGCGAGAAGGGGCTTTTGGTCGCGTCTCCTGTTGCCATAGACACCGAAGAAACAGGGTTTGTTGTCGTGAATCGAGTTTGTGTTGTTGACAGCGAAGCCACAACTCCTGTTTTCGTTGTCGGGTATGGTGTAACACTTCTACTTGTCGATTTTTCCGAAGATGCTTCTTTACTTGTTACTACATCTGTCAGAATCAGTGTTGTAGCATCAACTAGCGTTCTGGCAGGTTCTGTCGCTTTTGAAGGGGTAGGGGAATTAGATGAGACGGGACTATATCTTCCTGTCATAGGTCTGTCAGTACCAGGCGGAGATTGCGGTGATGATGATCTTTGTAACGTTACAGTATTTGTAGTCAGGGTTGATGGGGTGGATGACGTATAGGTTCTGGTTGTGCTAGATTGATCAGTAATGTCTTTAGTTATCGAGGAAGACATTGTTGGGGTTTGAGTTTGAGTAAAAGGTGCACCAGAAAGTCTAGTAGACTTAAAGGCAGTTGTGCTAGACGGATCAGTTTTAGGGCTGGATACGGAAGATCTTTGTGGTGAAGTTGATGCCGTAGCTGGTAAGAACGTGGTTTCGAAGCTAGAAGTCAAGACATCTGTTATTTCTGGTGTGCCAGCTTTAGTGGAGGTTCTGATGGGTGTCATTGACGCCTTCAAACGAGTAGTTTGAGCGACTTGTGTCGTTGATTCTGTTGAGCGGTTTACCATACCTGTTCCGGTGGAGACATTGATAGAAACGTTTGCCGGTGTAGCGTCGGTTGGAAACAATCTCGAACTTTGCGTAGGGACAAATGACCTGTCGGCACTCGATGTAGAAGATATCTTAGATTGAGAAGTGGAGAGATTGGAAGGCATTGTCATTGTCTCGGTGAAGATTACAGTACCAGGTTCTGTTGATGTTCCCTCTGTTACAGTTATTGGTGATACCGAGCTTTTAGTGGAGGAGAAAGGAAAAGTAGCGTTTGCCGTGGTATCTACTTTTGGGCTAAAGGTAGACGAAATGTCCGATGCCTTTGTTGACTTGGTCACTGACCTGGTGAGAGTGGATACATCTTCATGCCTAGTAATGGTTTCGTTTGGTAACAGAGTCGTCTTTGTTTGTGTGGTGGTAAATCGAGCTGCAGAAGTTGCTGTGGCGTTGTAAGGAGATTCTGTATCTGTGATTTCAATTAAAGTTGTTGAATCTAAAGCTTCAGTGGAAAGATTGCCTTGATTTACAGTTGTTTGTTTCGACCCCAGGGTGCTGGACATGGGCGTTGTATTATATGGACTTCGTGAAGACACTGGAGATGCTGATTTTGTTGTTTTAGGTGAAAGGGATGGACTAATAGTAGCATTTGATGAGCTTGCAGTACTCGCTGATTGAAAATCCGTTACATCTGTGCTTTTCAATGTTGTTGGCACCCGTGTTCTAAGTGTTCGTTGCTTGCTTGTGACATCAGTCACCGAGACCGGGGCTTTCGTTGTACTTTCAGTTGTAACGTTATCTATTGGAATCGTTGTATCGGGAATGACAGTGGAAACCAGCATCGTGTAATCAGGCGTTTTGGTCTGCCGAGAGGCAGAGGTGGTCGAGACTTTAGAGTCTGTTCTAGGTGAGTAGAGAGATGTGGATGAAGTCTGGATGTCGCGGGTGGCCATGGTAATATCTGTGACTGATCGCGTAGATTTAGTACTACGGGAGGGAGATCTTGTTGTTCCTGTCTTTTTCCGTGTAGATGCTGGTGCTTCTGTCGAGAGCATGTGAGCAGTCGTAGCGTTTGCCGTGGACATAGGAGACACTATCTCGGTGATGTCTGGCAATATGCTCGTTCTAGAAACTTCTGTCGGAGCTTCAGAAGTTAAAGATCGGAAATATTGAGAAGTTGTGATATTAAGAGAAGGGGTACTGCTGTCCCCTATCTTCGTTGTTGCACTGGTCTTGGCCGCTGTTGTGGAACCTGCTGTCAGGGCAAGCGTTGATATATTTTGTGTTGAGACACTTTCAGGTGTTTGAGTCGCTGTCATTGCAGACGTACTGGATATCGCAGATACAGATTTGTTTTCCGTCTGTGTTGGAGCCTGAGTAACAGTGTGCAAAGTAACCGGTGACTGGCTTGGAGCCTCCGTTCCTGTTTGTTCCACAACCTCAGTAGTTAGAGATGGGGAAGTTGTAGATGTTTTGACTGATGACGTCTGTTGTAGTGTAGAAGCATCCTGTGTGATGTTTGATGGCGTTTCGTTGGTTGTGTCTGAAATCATAGTGTAAACCACTGTAGTGTAATCGGGAGCTATGGTCTTTTTTGTGACTGGCAATGATGCACTACGTAATGTAGAAGCTTTAGAGAAGGCAGAAGTCGACTGACTGATAGAAGACTCGGAGGCGGAAACCGGCTGAATTGTTTTAGTGTTGGTGGATTCACTCGTTGTAGCCGTTGGAAAAGACGCTGCTGTGGTGTTGGTAAACTTAACACGCTGCGAAGTGGTTGATAATGATGAATCACTCTTGGTAGTTGACATTGAGCTAGTTTTGCCAATGGTCATGGTTGGTTTTGTAAATGCTGCTTCTGTTGTTGTTTGCAACTGTGTTCTTGTCGCTGACGTTCTAGTGGATTTTAGTGGCGTTGACACCGTGGACCCTTCCTGAGATGTTTCAGACACGATAGTTGAAACTATTGTGCTTAGAACATCTGTTGTAACATCATCTCTCGGCGCGGACGATGTGGTTCTTGTAGTTCTTTGTCGAGATGGTGTGGATGCAGAAGTACGGGAGACTGTTGATGCTATTGCCGAAGATGTAGACGGAATAGGGGAATGTCCAGTAGATTTGGATACTTCAGTAGGTCCCAATGTTGTGTTCCCGGTAGCTTTTGGTGGGCTGGTAGACATTGTGGATAAGCTGCTTGTTGTTGATCGTTTTTCTGTGGACACTCTTGCTGTGGATGACTGTGATACTGTGATGCTACTTGTTTTGTCTGGGGCCGTCGCGTCTGTAGTTTCTGGCAACTCTGTTAAGATTATTGTAGTCTGAACTGCATCGGTTGATTTTGTGGTTGTTGGCTTAGTTTTGCGTAAGGTTGATGTTCTTGGCTCTGTAGCTTTAGTTGACGTCTTTTGGACTGTTGAAGCTGTAAAGGTTGATCCAAACGTTTTCCCCTGTGTACTCTGCTGCCTGGACGAAGTTGTAGAAATGACGCTAGGTTCAGTTGTATCTGAATCCACGGTTGAAACCACTGTGGTATAGTCTTGTGTTTGGGATGGTGTTTGGGATGATTTTGTTGCTCTTCTCGTAGATAGTGGTTTAGAGGATGTGACGGAAGACGCTTGTGTTGTTTCATGAGTAGAATCACTTCTTGGTTCTGGAGATTTTCGCGCAGTTGCTGTTTTTGGCTCTGTTGAGATGGTTGATGTATGTTGACCCGTCGATGTCGATCTAACCGTTGCTGTAGAAAATGTGATCCGTGTACCTTGCTGTCTTGGTGTAGCTGTGGGGGTAACGCTAGGCCCAGAGTCGTCAGTTGTATCTGACTCGACGGTGGAAACAACTGTGGTATAGTCTTGTGTTTGGGATGTTGCTTGTGATGACTTTGTTGCTCTTTTCGTAGATGATGGTTTAGAGGTGGTGACGGAAGAAACCTGTATTGTTGTATGAGTAGAGTCAGTTGTTGGTTCTGTAGATTTTGGCAGAGTTGCTGTTTTTGACTCCGTTGAAATGGTAGATACCGTTTGGCCTGTTTTCGAAGATGTGGAAGCTATTGTTTGTGTGCTCTGCTGCCTAGGCGTAGCTGATGGGGTTACGCTAGAACCGGGATCATCAGTTGTATCTGCCTCAATGGTTGAAACAACCGTAGAATAGCCTTGTGTTTGAAAAGGTGTTTGTGATGATTTTGTTGATCTCTGCGAAGATGATGGTTTAGTACTGGTAGGAGAGGAAGTCATTGTTTTCTGAGTACTATCAGTTCTTGGTTCTGGAGACGTACGCAAGGTTCCTGTTTTAGCATCTGTTGACAAAGTTGATGCCTGCCGCCTTGTTGACGAAGCTGTAACTGTTGGCGCAAAGGTTGTTATGCGTGTGCCCTGCTGCGTTGATGTGACTGTAGGAGTAACACTGCCGCCATAATAGTCAGTTGTATCTGACTCCACGGTGGAAACAACTGTTGTATACACTTGTGTTTGAGATGGATCTGTAGCCTCCATTGTAGATGATGATCTAGTACTGGCAAGAGAGGAGACCTGCATTGTTTGACGAGTAGCAGCAGTCGTTGTAGATGCAGTTTTTGTTGATGGCGATCCAACAGGTCTTGTCGTTACTGATGCTACCGTAGACGCGTCTGCACTGGACGCTACAGGTGATACGGATGACAGTGTGTTTGCCGTGATTGCAGGTGATGTAGATTCCGTTTGATCGGAAAGCGTTCTTGTCACAGTCTTCGATGGTATCGTAGATGATAATGATGCTAGGGGTATTATACTCGTAGCAGTTGATACAATCTCAGTGTTCTGTTCTGCTAGTGTTGACGAGGTTTCTGTTTCCAATGATGAAGTAACCGCCGACGTGAAAGTTGTTGTAGACGCTGACCCTTCTATGGACATTGTAGTTGCTGCTGATGAAGCAGACGTTTGTCCAGGGTTGACGCTTGTTTTGCTGTAGTTTTTCCCGCAGTGCTTGCTGTGTTTGCTGTGGACGACACTCCGCTAGTGGACTGCTGTGTTGAAGTTATACCTGATGTTGAGATACCTGTTGTAAACGCGACAGATCTGGGTGTCATAGTGGATAACAAAGATGGCGTATTAGTGTCCTCAGAAGTAGAGATAAAACCAGTGCCTTTTGTTTGAGCGAGCGTAGTGAATGTTTTCGATGTGGTACCAGGAACCGTTTCTTCTGTAGTATCAGAAATGACTGTGGAAACAACTGTACTTAGATCCGGTGTTTTATCTGCTGTTGTGTCAGACTGGGAAAACGGCGTTGTTGATTGTGTGGGTAGTGGTTGAGAGACAGTGCTTGAGCGTGCCTGAGTTTTCTTCGTTGTGTTTTCAGGAGTTGTTTCTCCTGTTGTGTTCGAGGGAATGGTGGACGTTACAGTAACGGAAGATGGCGGAAAAGACGCTCCGTCAGTGCGTTGTTGGGATGAAGTTATTGGTGGTGTTGACATACCTGTGCTAGATGTTCCACCTGACACGACAGACTTGGGTGTCATAGTTGAGAACACAGATACAGTTTTAGTATCCTCCGAGGTTGATACCAACCCTGTGCCTTTTGTTCGGGCGAACATGGTGGATGCTTTGGATGTGGTACCAGATACCGATTCTTCCGTGGTATCAGTAACGACTGTGGAAACAACTGTACTTAGATTCGATGTTTGGTCCGCTGTTGTTACAGCCTGGGACGTCGGAGTTGTTGATTTTGTCTGCAGTGGTTGAGAGACAGTACTTGAGTGTGCCTGGGTCCTCTTCGTTAACACGCCTGTTGTGTTCCCATGTGATGTTTCTTCAGATGTGGTGGAAGAAACGGTTGAAATGACAGTAACGGGAGACCGTGTGGAAGACACTCCTTGAGTAGACTGCTGGGCCGAAGTTAAGCCTGATGTTGCCGTACCTGTTCTTGGTGTCAAACTTGATTGGTCAAGGGGAGTGCTAGTGTATGGAGTAGAGGATATAGTTTTTGTATTTTCTGAGGTTGATACAAACCCCGTGCCTTTCGTTTGGCTGAATGTGGATGTCATGGATGTGGGACTAGAGACCCCGACCTCCGTAGTGTCATCAACAATGGTTGAGACGACTGTACTTAGATCAGTTGTTCTGTCTGTTGTTCGAGCAATCGTCTCTTGCGTAGTTGATGGTGACAAACTCGAACTAATGGCGTCCGTCGATGTTAACCGTGAAGCAGAGGTTGATGAAACTTTGGTAGAACTTTGCGTCGCTACGCTATGCGTTCTACTACCGGATGTACTGGGGCTTTCTGTAGATATCTTTGAGACAGTTGGTTGCGTTGTGTACTTTGCAGGTGTTCCTGTCCGACCAGTAGAGGTTGCAGTGGACACAGACGCAGACCCAGAAAATGGTTGCGTGGTGAAAAATGAGGAAAGGAGCGTACTTGTACCTGTCGTTCCCGAGGACTGAAGTGTCTCGGTAGATGGTGATGGAGGCGACGCTGTGGGTGTCTGGGGTGGAGGGTCAGTGGTTACAATGTATGTTTGAAGGGAAGGAATACAGTCATGTAAATCTGGATGTCACAGATTTCTTCTGTTAGAATATGTAGAAATTGGTGCCATATAGAAATCTAAGAGGTCATACATAACTTGGTGAGATGCAATACAATGGAATGAGATAAGAGCCTAATGGGATGGATTGAATTAGTGATATGTACTATTCTACCTGGAAATTGTCACATATGCAGCGTTGTTGTAATATTGGTTGAACTCACCTTTGCCAAGGGGGTTGACGTTACACCATCAGTTGATGCTTGACTTGATGATGAACCCAAAGGTGTTGACGATGTAATCGTTGGCGAAGTGGGTGTTGTTGCTGCACTTCTTGTAGACAGCAGCGTTGGGGAGGTTGAAACTGTCTTCCTCGCAGGTGTTGTCTGCGTTGCTGTTGTTGCTGCAGATACTTCGGACGTTTCCACGGGTACTATCGTGGTGTAAGCCGTAGCCATCTCTGTTGTCTGCAGTGTTAATGGAGCCAACGTAGAGGTCAACGTTGGTTTAGGTGTTGTCATTCTCGTAGCTGTCGTTGCTACTGTGGATTTATTCACACCCTGCTGCAACGTGGATAGAATCGTTCCTGCTGTTTCCGTAGATAATATTGCTGTTGTGCCTTCAGCAGATGTTTGCAAGAACGGTTCCTTTGTAGTTGTCATTTCTGAAGCCATCACCGATGTGGACCCTTTGGTCTTGGTTAATGTATTTGTAAACGTTGACGACCTCGCTGACGCAGTGCTAAGTGTTTTCTTTCCGGTAGTTGGTGTAGGTGACTGAGGGGTTGCTACGGAACTTGTACTTGGCGGAACAGTTTCTGTAGTGTCTAGTACCGTTTCTGTAGTGTCCAGTACCGTTGTCACAAACGCTGCCTGGGTGGTTGTACCTGGTGACGATGATGCTGACACTGGTGAGGAAACATTTGTCGTAGACATTTGTGTATGTGGTGTAACCGTTGCATTGCTTGATCGAAGCGTTGTAGAACCTGTCGTCGCGATGTAAATTGTTGTATTTGGGCTCAGCGATGCCGTAGATGCTTTTGTTGCACTGAATGATGTGTTCTGTGTTGTTTCCAAGACGGTGGTTGCTGCTATCTCAGTGGAAAGGAACGTGACAGGTGCCTGTGTTGATAAATCAGGACCATCTGTAGTTATCAACGACTTTGGTGTTGTTGGTGTCAATGAAGATACCGCTGTTGATTCTGATGGTCGTACATTCGTTGTGGAGGACCCAGGCCTGGCTGAAGACATTGTTCTACTCTCTGTAGACGGGAGTGTTGTAGCATTAGCAGTCGATACGTTCCTGACTTCTGTTGTGGTTTGTTCATATGTTGTTGCTTCTACCGATGCCGTTGTAAAGACAGAAGGCTTCCCAGTGGTTGTTGTAACAGATGCCTTTGCTGCAGTCGTTACTTTCTGTGTAGACATCGCTTCGGTAGACCCCTGTGTTACCACATCTGTTGAAATCATCGTATGTGCCTCAGGGGTTGTGATTTTCGAAGTCTCTGTCACTTCTGGGCCCGTTGTGACGGAGGGCGTTGTTGTTTTCATCGTCTGGTCTGTTTTCGGCTCAGGCGTAGTTTGTGACTTTGTTGCAGCTGTAGTATTTCCTGATGTAGCTGTGACTGTCGATTCTATGGAAACTAGCGTAGATACGGCAGACGTCAGTATTTCTGTAGCTGGACTGACTGATGTTGTATCTGTTTTTGCCGCTGATGTTGTTTGCTTTGACATGGTAGCCACCGATGAGCCAGCATCTGTTGTCTTAGAGGTTAACGGCGTGGCTGTAGTCATGTCTTCGGTAGACACAACCACGTCAGAAGTAGCCACGACAATAGAAGTCTGTGGTTCTGTAGTTTTGGTTGTGATAATTTCAACTGTAGTATCCGAGAAGCGCGTTCCTGTCGTAGTGGACTTTTTAGTGGTTTGAACAGAACTTGGGCCACTTGGTTGTGGTGTTGTTTGCCCTGAAACAATAAGATGGATCTATTCATTTATCACGATTTACCACATGTATTGACATAACAGGTGATGGTCACCTTTTCAAGATGTCATCCCTGAGACCAGACTGTAAGGTTTGAAACACACCCAGAAGAAATAGGTGTAAAGTGTGGATGGAGCACAGTCATGGACTTTTTTAAAACCAGAGCATATTGGCATTGTTTCGTGATGCCAAGCGAAATCAATGTTGCATTGTACTGACATGACACAGACTGGTACAATTAATGACACCACTTTTCATTATTCATAACCCTAATAAGGACGACACAAGCAGTAACAATTAAAGAAAACCAATGATTACATTTTATAGTCTATGATAAAGTAGGCTAGTTGTACGGCATTGTTCTGCACTAACCGTACCTTTCAAGAAATTTAGCGAAATTTTAGTAACATAATATTTTGTACAATTGCAAACAATTATTCTGACAGCAATTGCTAAGATGTTTAAATTCAAAGAATGTATACAAATATTACAATCTCTGCCAACGCCGCAATAAAAACATAGCGTATGTAAAACCCACTACGACAGTATGAAGTAATACTCTTAAGAATTTTGTAAAAGTATCTGGACTAAACCAGTACCATCTACTTACCAAGCGACGCCCCTACAAGAACACTGACTACGAATGCCATGACTGGTATCCGTAACACACACATTGTCTGCCACTGTGACACGCGTTCCCTTCTTAAAATCAATCACAGCGACTGCTGAATGATTATCAATCCTCCAGCAATGCCAAAACTATGTAGCTCCATGCTCAAGCTATCCAGATTTTTGCATACACTCCCAGATAGCGACGAGTCACTCTTACACAGTTCCTTTTTCTGTATACAGGACCTGACTGAATAGCGTCGTCGTGCATGAATTATCGGGACGTCAGAAAAGAATAAAAGCGTAACTACTTGTGGTTTCAATGCACGTGTCAAGATGAAAGAATGACGCAGACTGCAAGGCATTGGGTAAAATAATGATGGCGTTTTTCGTGCGCACTTGTGTGATCATAATAAGCGGAACTGACTGCAGATTTTGGAATGTATTAGTCTGTATTGAACATGGATGTTGCCTGTAATGAAACAAGTCAATACTACATTTGAAGCATACTTTGATGATACTTTTATATACAATTAACTTGGGCTGTCATGTAATTTGACAATGAAGTAAAAAGTTTCGTCGTATATTTGAAGTTCCCTTTGATGATGAGGTGAGGTTTGATGATGAATGCCAGCGGCTTCAATAGAAACACTACTTAACACACTGACAATATCAAAAACGGTTGATATGGCAATGTCCAGATTTATGGAGATGCTGCACGTTAGACCTGCCATTAATGAAATAGCCATTATGCCCCACATGAATATTTTATATGTAACGTAGAATACAATGCATTGTATTTGAACTAAGGATACTTAAAAGGAGAAACACTTGAACGGGATCATTATTCACCCAATTTGTATCATGACATGTCAAATGTAGATGTAACGATATATTGAAATTCTGTGACTTCATCAATTTGTGCACTGGTCTTTATCGACTCATAATTTGATAGGTTTGATGCTCCCCTTGTAACAAACGATTTTTTCTGAACAGACTTTTACTGCGTCCAAATGCTTTGTGAATATCTGATAATGAAGTAAAGGATGATTTTTATCAAATCACGGGACCGGAAGTGACGTCACAGAAGGTCGCCATTTTGTTTCTAGCAGACGACAAAGACTGCCAACGGATTTTCGTCAGTGGTTTTATAGCCATTTAAGGTTGGGTCAACATGGTCCGACATGGTGTTGTATACTACCTAAAAGTAACTACTTATCTTAGAAACACAAGATTTCGACAACGGCCCTATTAAACATAATATGTGTATATATTTTACAGAATTACAAAGAAATGTACCTGGAGGTGTAGAGGATGTTGTGCCAGGTGTCATTCCTGTTCCTTCGGTAGTGACTCCGGTTGTGATGACCACTGTTCCTCCCTCAGTAGTTTCTGTTGCTGAAGGAGTTGTGGTCCCGTTATTAGCGACATCAGTACTTGTCACTATGGTTGTTTCTTCAGTAGTTCGTGGTGTTGCTGAAGTTGTGGTCCCTTCCGTAGTGACGTCTGTATTAGTCACTACGGTTCTTCCTTCAGTAGTCTGTGTTGCTGTTAGTGTTGTGGACTTTTTAGTAGCGACATCAGTGCTTGTCACAATGGTTCTTTCTTCAGTTGTCTGTGGTGTTACTGAAGTAGTTGTGGTCCCTTGAGTAGCGACATCAGTGCTTGTCACTATGGTCCTTCCTTCAGTAGTTCGTGGTGTTACTGACGTTATAGTCCCTTCTGTAGTGACCCCTGTATTAGTTACAACTGTTATTTCTTCAGTCGTCTTTGGGGTTGTTGAAGGTGTTCTAGTCCCTTCAGTAGAGATGTCTGTACGCGTCACAGCGGTTCTTTCTTCAGTCGTCCTCGGTGTTGTTGGAGGTGTTGTAGTATCTTCCGTAGTGATCCCGGTATTAGTTACAACTGTTACTTCTTCAGTCGTCTTTGGTGTTGCTGAAGGTGTTGTAGTCCCTTCTGTAGTGACCCCTGTATTGGTTACAACTGTTACTTCTTCAGTCGTCTTTGGTGTTGTTAAAGGTGTTGTAGTCCCTTCAGTACTGACCCCTGTATTGGTTACAACTGTTATTTCTTCAGTGGTCTTTGGTGTTGCTGAAGGTGTTGCTGAAGGTGTTGTAGTCCCTTCAGTAGAGACGTCTGTACGAGTCACAAGGGTTCTTTCTTCGGTCGTCCTCGGTGTTGTTGAAGATGTTGCAGTTCCTTCTGTAGTGACCCCAGTATTAGTTACAACTGTTATTTCTTCAGTCGTCTTTGGGGTTGTTGAAGGTGTTGTAGTCCCTTCTGTAGTGACCCCTGTATTGGTTACAACTGTTACTTCTTCAGTCGTCTTTGGTGTTGTTAAAGGTGTTGTAGTCCCTTCTGTAGTGACCCCTGTATTGGTTACAACTGTTACTTCTTCAGTCGTCTTTGGTGTTGCTGAAAGTGTTGTAGTCCCTTCTGTAGTGACCCCGGTATTAGTTACAACTGTTACTTCTTCAGTCGTCTTTGGTGTTGTTGACGGTGCTGTAGTACCTTCTGTAGTGACCCCTGTATTAGCTACAGCTGTTATTTCTTCAGTCGTCTTTGGTGTTGCTGAAGGTGTTCTAGTCCCTTCAGTAGAGACGTCTGTACGAGTCACAAGGGTTCTTTCTTCAGTCGTCATTGGTGTTGTTGAAGATGTTGCAGTTCCTTCTGTAGTGATCCCTGTATTAGTTACAACTGTTACTTCTTCAGTCGTCCTCGGTGTTGTTGAAGGTGTTGTAGTATCTTCTGTAGTAATCGCTGTATTAGTTACAACTGTTACTTCTTCAGTCGTCTTTGGTGTTGTTGACGGTGCTGTAGTCCCTTCCGTAGTGACCCCTGTATTAGTTATAACTGTCACTTCTTCAGTCGTCTTTGGTGTTTTTGCAGGTGTTGCAGTTACGTCTGTAGTGATCCCTGTAGTAGTTGCAACTGTTACTTCTTCAGTCGTCTTTGGTGTTGCTGAAGGGGTTGTACTCCCTTCTGTAGTGATCCCTGTATTAGATACAACGGTTCTTTCTTCAGTTGTCTTTGGTGTTGTTGAAGGTGTTGTAATCCCTGCCGTGGTGAGCCCTGTGTTAGTTACAACTGTTACTTCTTCAGTCGTCTTTGGGGTTGCTGAAGGTGTTGTAGTCCCTTCAGTAGAGACGTCTGTACGCGTCACAACGGTCCTTTCTTCGGTAGTTTGTGTTGCTGAAGGCGTTGTTGTCATTTCTGCAGTGGCTTCTGTACTAGTTACAACTGTCACGCCTGTAGTGATCTCTGGACTCGTGACAGTACCTTTTCCTTCAGTCGTCTGGGATGTTACTGGAGTTGTTGTGGTAAGTATCACTGTCCCAGTCACCAAGGTTCTTTCCTCAGTAGTTTGCGGTGTTGCCGGAGTCATTGTGGCCTCTTCAGTAGTCACCCCCGTAGCTGTTACAACAGTCACATCCTCAGTAGTCTGTGGGGCTGTTGGGGGTGTTGTGGTCCCAATCGCTGTAACCCCTGTACTTGTGACAACAGTTATTTCTTCAGTAGTTTGCGGTGTTGCTGGAGTTGTGGTCCCCTCCTTAGTGACCTCTGTAGTTGTTACAGCGGTTCTCTCCTCGGTAGTTTGCGCGGTGGCTGGAGCTGTTTTGGCCTCTTTAGTAGCTGTAGCTGTTGCACCAGTAACATCTTCAGTAGTCTGCAGAGTTGCTGTGGTCCCTGGTGGTGTTGTGGTCCCTGCCGCTGTAATCTCTGTTAATGTTACTACAGTTCTTTCCTCCGTAGTTTGAGGTGTTGCGGGAGTTGTGGTGGCCTCTTCAGTAGTCACCACTGTAGCTGTTACAACAGTTACATCTTCAGTAGTCTGAGAAGTTGCTGGTCGTGTTGTGGTCCCTATCGCTGTAACCCCTGTGCTTGTCACTAAAGTTCTTTCATCAGTAGTTTGCGGTGTTGTTGGAGTTGTTGTAATTCCTTCTGTAGTGACCTCTGTACTGGTTACAGCGGTTCTTTCCTCAGTAGTTTGTGGTGTTGCTGGCGTTGTGGTGGCCTCTTCAGTAGTCACCACCGTAGCTGTTACAACAGTCACATTCTCAGTAGTTTGAGAAGTTGCTGGTGGTGTTCTAGTCCCCACCGCTGTAACCCCTGTACTTGTCACTAAAGTTCTTTCGTCAGTAGTTTGCGACGTTGCTGGTGTTGTTGTAACTCCTTCTGTAGTGACCCCTGTAATTGTTACAATGGTTCTTTCCTCGGTAGTTTGCGGTGTTGCCGGAGTCATTGTCGCCTCTTCAGTAGTCACCACCGTAGCTGTTACAACAGTCACATCTTCAGTAGTCTGTGAAGTAGCTGGGGGCGTTGTGGTCCCAACCGCTGTAACCCCTGTGCTTGTCACAGCAGTTCTTTCGTCAGTAGTTTGCGATGTTGCTGGTGTTGCTGTGATTCCTTCGGTAGTGACCCCTGTACTTGTAACATAGTCTCTTTCCTCGGTAGTTTGTGGTGTTGCTGGAGTCGTTGTGGCCTCTTCAGTAGTCACCCCCGTAGCTGTCACAACAGTCGCATCTTCAGTAGTCTGCAGAGTTGCTGAGGGCGTTGTGGTCCCAACCGCTGTAACCCCTGTACTTGTCACTACAGTTTCTTCAGTAGTTCCTGGCGTTGTGGTTATAGTTACAACGGTTCTTTCTTCTGTTGTACTTGGTGTAGTTGGAGCCGGTGTAATCTCTGTGCTAGTTACACCTGTCATTTCTTCAGTTGTCCCAGGTGTAGTTGGACGATCTGTTATTTCTGTCCTAGTTACAACGGTCCTGCCTTCAGTTGTCTCTGGTGTTGTAGGGGGCGCCGTGATTTCTGTACTAGTTACAACGGTCATGTCTTTAGTTGTCCCTGGTGTAGTTGGAGGCGCCGTAACTTCTGTGCTAGTTACAACGGTCCTTTCCTCAGTTGTACCTGGTGTTGTTGGAGGCTCTGTGATTTCTGTATTTGTTACAACGGTCCTTTCCGCAGTTGTACCTGGTGTAGTTGGAGGCTCTGTGATTTCTGTATTTGTTACAACGGTTCTTTCGTCAGTAGTTTGCAATGTTGCTGGAGTTGTTGTGAATTCTTCGGGAGTGAGCCCAGTACTTGTTACAACTGTTCTTTCCTCAGTAGTTTGTGGTGTTGCCGGTGTTGTGGTTTCTTCAGTAGTGACCCCTGTACTTGTTACAACGGTTCTTTCCTCAGTAGTTTGCGGTGTTCCTGGAGTTGTGATTCCTTCAGTAGTCACACCCGTAGCTATCACAAAAGTCACATCCTCAGTAGTCTGCGGAGTTTCTAGGGGAGTTGTGGTCACCACCGCTGTAACTTCTGTACTTGTCACTACAGTTCTTTCTGCAGTAGTTTGTGGTGTTGCTAGAGTTGTTGCGGCCCCCTTCGTGCTAGTTACAGCTGTCATTTCTTCAGTTGTCTTAGGTGTTGCTGAAGGTGTGTCGGTCCCTTCTGTAGTGATGTCTGCACTTGTTATAGTAGTTATTTCTTCAGTTGTCTGTGATGTTACTGGAGTTTTTGTGGTAGTTATAACTGTATTTGTCACCAAGGTTCTTTCCTCAGTAGTTTGTGGTGTTGCTGGAGTTCTAGTGGACTCCTCAGTAGTCACCCCCGTAGCTTTCACAACAGTCACGTCTTCAGTAGTCTGCGGAGTCGCTAGGAAAGTTGTGGTCCCCACCGCTGTGATCTTTGTACTTGTCACCACAGTTCTTTCTTCAGTAGATTGCGGAGTTGCTGGAGTTGGTGTGGTGCCCTCCACATTGACCCCTGTACTTGTTACAACGGTTCCTTCCTCGGTAGTGTCTGGTGTTGCTGTTGTGGTTACCTCGGTAGTGGCTCCTGTACGTGTTAGAACGGTCCTTTCCTCAGTAGTTTCTGGTGTTGCTGGAGTTGTGGCTCTAGTTACAACGGTACTTTCTTCGGTTGTCCCTGGTGTAGTTGGAGGCTCTGTTATTTCTGTGCTAGTTACAACGGTCATTTCTGCAGTTGTCCCTGGTGTAGTTGGAGACTGTGAAGCGTCTGTGCTAGTTACAATGGTTCTTTCTTCAGTTGTCCCTGATGTAGTTGGTTGCTCTGATATTTCTGTGCTAGTTACAACGGTCATTTCTGCAGTTGTCTCCGGTGTTGCTGAAGGTGATGTTGTTACTTCGGAGGTAATTTCTGTGCTAGTTACAACGGTTCTGTCTTCAGTTGTACCTGGTGTTGTAGAAGGCGCTGTGATTTCTGTGCTAGTTACAACGGTTTTTTCCTCGGTTGTCCCTGGTGTAGTTGGAGGCTCTGTTATTTCTGTGGTAGTTACAACAGTCCTGTCTCCTGTTGTCCCTGGTGTAGTTGGAGGCTCTGTTATTTCTGTTCTAGTTACAACGGTCATTTCTGCAGTTGTCTCTGGTGTAGTTGGAGGCCCTGTTATTTCTGTGCTAGTTACAACGGTCATTTCTGCAGTTGTCCCTGGTGTAGTTGGAGACTGTGAAGTGTCTGTGCTAGTTACAACGGTCCTGTCTTCTGTTGTCCCTGGTGTAGTTGGAGGCTCTGATATTTCTGTGCTAGTGACAGCGGTCATTTCTTCAGTTGTTCCCGGTGTAGTTGAAGGCAGTATGATGTCTGTGCTAGTTGCTACGGTCATTTCTACAGTTGTCCCTGAGGTTGTAATAGGTGTTGTTGTTTCTTTAGAAGTGACCTCTGTGCTAGTACCAACTGTTCTTTGTTCGGTTGTACCTGGTGTAGTTGGAGGTGATGTTGTTCCTTCAGAAGTGATCTCTGTGCTAGTTACAACTGTTCCGTCTTCAGTTGTACCTGGTGTTGTAGGAAGCGCTGTAATTTCTGTGCTAGTTACAGCGGTTCTTTCTTCGGTTGTCCCTGGTGTAGTTGGAGGCTCTGATATTTCTGTGCTAGTTACAACGGTTCTGTCTTCTGTTGTCCCTGGCGTAGTTTGAGGCTCTGTTATTTCTGTTCTAGTTACAACTGTTCTGTCTTCTGTTGTCCCTGGTGTCCCTGGTGTAGTTGGTGGCTCTGTTATTTCTGTGCTAGTTACAACGGTCATCTCTGCAGTTGTCCCTGGTGTAGTTGGAGACTGTGAAGCGTCTGTGCTAGTTACAACGGTTCTTTTTTCAGTTGTCCCTGGTGTAGTTGGTTGCTCTGTTATTTCTGTGCTAGTTACAACGGTCATTTCTTCTGTTGTCCCTGGTGTAGTTGGAGGCTCTGTTATTTCTTTGCTAGTTACAACGGTCATTTCTTCTGTTGTCCCTGGTGTAGTTGGAGGCTCTGTTATTTCTGTGCTAGTTACCACGGTCATTTCTTCAGTTGTCCCTGGTGTAGTTGGTTGCTCTGTTATTTCTGTACTAGTTACAACGGTCCTGTCTTCTGTTGTCCCTGGTGTAGTTGGAGGCTCTGTTATTTCTGTGCTAGTTACACCGGTCATTTTTGCAGTTGTCCCTGGTCTTGTTGGAGGCTCTGTTATTTCTGTGCTAGTTACAACGGTCATTTCTGCAGTTGCCCCTGGGGTAGTTGGAGGCTCTGTTACTTCTGTGCTAGTTACAACGGTCATTTCTTCTGTTGTTCCTGGTGTAGTTGGAGGCTCTGTTATTTCTGTGCTAGCTACAAAGGTTCTATCTTTTGTTGTCCCTGGTGTAGTTGGAGGCTCTGTTATTTCTTTGCTAGTTACAACGGTCATTTCTTCTGTTGTCCCTGGTGTAGTTGGAGGCTCTGTTATTTCTGTGCTAGTTACCACGGTCATTTCTTTAGTTGTCCCTGGTGTAGTTGGAGGCTCTGTTATTTCTGTGCTAGTTACAACGGTTCTATCTTCTGTTGTTCCTGGTGTTGTTGGAGGCTCTGTTATTTCTGTGCTAGTTACCACGGTCATTTTTGCAGTTGTTCCTGGTGTAGTTGGAGGCTGTGTTATTTCTGTGCTAGTTACAACTGTTCTATCTTCTGTTGTCCCTGGTGTAGTTGGAGGCTCTGTTATTTCTGTGCTAGTTACAACGGTCCTGTCTTCTGTTGTCCCTGGTGTAGTTGGAGGCTCTGTTATTTCTGTGCTAGACACGACGGTCCTGTCTTTTGTTGTCCCTGTTGTAGTTGGAGGCTCTGTTATTTCTGTGCTAGTTACGACGGTCCTGTCTTCTGTTGTCCCTGGTGTAGTTGGAGGCTCTGTTATTTCTGTGCTAGTTACAACGGTCCTGTCTTCTGTTGTCCCTGGTGTAGTTGGAGGCTCTGTTATTTCTGTGCTAGTTACCACGGTCATTTCTTCAGTTGTCCCTGGTGTAGTTGAAGGCTGTGTGATGTCTGTGCTAGTTGCTACAGTCATTTCTACAGTTGTCCCTGGGGTTGTAATAGGTGTTGTTGTTTCTTTCGAAGTGACCTCTGTGCCAGTTACAACTGTTCTTTCTTTGGTTGTACCTGGTGTAGTTGGAGGCGATGTTGTTCCTTCAGAGGTGATCTCTGTGATAGTTACAACTGTTCTGTCTTCAGTTGTACCTGGGGTTGTTGGAAGCGCTGTAATTTTTGTGCTAGTTACAGCGGTTCTTTCTTCGGTTGTCCCTGGTGTAGTTAGTTGCTCTGTAATTTTTATGCTAGTTACAGCGGTTCTTTCTTCGGTTGTCCCTGGTGTAGTTGGAGGCTCTGTTATTTCTGTGCTAGTTACAACGGTCCTGTCTTCTGTTGTCACTTGTGTAGTTGGAGGCTCTGTTATTTCTGTGCTAGTTGCTACGGTCATTTCTGTAGTTGTCCCTGGTGTAGTTGGAGGCTCTGTTATTTCTGTGCTAGTTACAACGGTTCTTTCTTCTGTTGGCCCTGGTGTAGTTGGAGGCTCTGTTATTTCTGTGCTAGTTACCACGGTCATTTCTTCAGTTGTCCCCGGTGTAGTTATAGGTTCTGTTATTTCTGTGCTTGTTACAACGGTTCTATCTTCTGTTGTCCCTGGTGTAGTTGGAGGCTCTGTTATTTCTGTGCTAGTTGCTACGGTCATTTCTGTAGTTGTCCCTGGTGTAGTTGGAGGCTCTGTTATTTCTGTGCTAGTTACAACGGTTCTTTCTTCTGTTGTCAATGGTGTAGTTTGAGGCTCTGTTATTTCTGTGCTACTTACAACGGTCATTTCTTCAGTTGTCCCCGGTCTAGTTGAAGGCTGTGTGATGTCTGTGCTAGTTGCTACGGTCATTTCTACAGTTGTCCCTTGGGTTGTAATAGGTGATGTTTCTTTAGAAGTGACCCCTGTGCTAGTTACAACTGTTCTGTCTTCAGTTGTTTCTGTTGTAGTTGGAGACGATGTTGTTCCTTTAGCAGTGATATCTGTGATAGTTACAACTGTTTTGTCTTCAGTTGTTCCTGGTGTTGTTGGAAGCGCTGTAATTTCTGTGCTAGTTACAGGGGTTATTCCTTCAGTTGTTTCTAGCGTTGTAGATGGCGCTGTGATTTCTGTGGTAGTTACAGCGGTCATTTCTTTAGTTGTTTCTCGTGTCGATGGTATCACTGTGGTTACTTTAGATGTACTTATAGAGGCTGTTGTCCCCACGCTGGTGATATCTGTAATAGGAACAATTGTAGTTGTTTCAGCTGTGCCTAATGTTACAACTGACGTAGTTTTATCATCCGTGGAGAAACCTGTGCTAGCAGCAACGGTAGAATGGACAGTAGACTGTGCTGTTGAAACAGTACCAATTTCTTCTGTGGTAAACCCGGTGCTTAAAATAGATGTGCTTTCTTCAGAATCTGTAGTTGTCAGCAAGGTAGTTGGCTCCGTGCTAGTAGAAACGGTGGTCTGTGCAGATGTTGCAGTTTGTAAAGGTGTTGTTTGTTGGGAAGTGAAAGCACCGGTAGTAGTTTTCGTACGTGCCGTGGTCTCTGTAGCTGCACCTGTACTTATAATAGCGGTGGCTGTGACTGCCGTTGTTGGTGACGTATGTGCAGTTGTAGGAACCGTTGTCTCTAAGCGTGTCTGTTCTGTTGTGCTGTCTGTAGTGTGCACTGTTGTAGGAGGCAAAGTTGTCCTTTGTGATATTTCCTCTGTTGTAATGAACGTTGTTGCAGGTTCTGTTTTGTATTCAGTTGTTCCATTGGAAGTGACATCGGTTTTATCAACTGTGGTTTGAGGTACAGTTGTCTGTTGTGTTGATACTGCTGGTGTTGTCTCGGTTGTTAGAGACGTAGTTGTAGGGGGTGTTGTTACACCTGTAGTAGATACGTCAGTTGTCTGTTGAGCTTTGTAAGATGATGCGGTCTGTTGTGTAGAATACAGAGGTGTTTCTTTTGTTGTTTGGCCTATAGTTGACGGAATCTCTGTTTCTTGAGATGTGAATGGTGATTCCGTTGATGTGGCAATAGCTTCCTCTGTTGTTACGAAAGTTGTTAGCTGTGCAGTGGTTTGTTCAGATGCCGTCTGTGTTGTGTGGGGTGTAGTTGTCCGCTGGGTTGAAGTAATCGATGTTTCCTCTGTAGTTTTGAGGGTTGATGAGGGTGTCGATGTTTCACCGGTTTCTGATGTGCTCGTTGTTTGTTCTGTTGTGTCAGGTGTTGTTGCCTGTATGGTTGACTTTGTCATGGCTTCTTCGGTTGTAAATAATGTTGTTGGCGGAGCTGTAGTTGGCAGAGATGTGTATGTTGCTGTCTGAGGTGTAGTTGGCTGGTTTGTTGATGTAATTGACGTGATCTCAGTCGCTACAGATGTCTTTGGAGGTACCGTTGTTTCCTCACTTGTTACACCTGGTGGCTGTGTTGTGAAGATCGTAGTTGCCTCTTCAGTTGATTTAGCAGTGGATATCTCAGTTGTACCTAACGTTGCTTCCTCTGTTGTTTCACCTGTAGTTGATAGGAACACAGTCTGTTGTGATGTATAAATCGTTGGAGTCTCTTTCGATGTAGCAGTGGTCTTCTCCGTTGAAATCACAGGGGCAGTAGGGGCAGTTGTATGTTTTGATGTATATTCAGTTGCTAGCTGTGTACTTGGTTGATAGCTGGATACGATCGAAGTGTCCTCAGTAGCTGTTGAAGGTGTTGGAGACACTGTCGTGTCCTGTGTAGTAAATGTGACCGTTGCTTGCGTGTGAAGCGTAGTTGATGAAACATCCTCAGTCGTAATCGATGTTGTTAAAGGAAACAGTGTGGTCTGGTTAGGTGTTGTTTGGGGTGTGGTTGTCTCAGTAATTATGGACGTCGAAGGAGCCAACGTTGTCGTTGTTTCTGCTGTGGTTTCTCCTGTACTTAACGCCACCGTTGTTTGCTGTCTTGTGTGAGGAGTTGTTGATACAGCGGATGATTCCTCAATAGTCACTAGTGTTGTTGGTGGTTCAGTGGTTTGTGTAGATGTATATTCTGTCGTCTGAGGTGTAGCCGGCGTCTGACTTGAAACAAGCGATGTTTCCTCAGTCGTTATGAACGTGGTTGAAGGCATCGTTACGTTCTGTGTTGTTACATCTGTTGCTGGTGGCACCGTTGTTCGTGGTGTTGTGAGAGGTGTAGTTGTCTCGATGGTGCTGGATTTCGCAGTGGTTTCCTCCTCAGTTGTAGCTAATGTTTGTATGGTTGACGGTGGTGCAGTTGTAAGTATCGTTGTTGGTGGGAAAGTGGTCTGTCCCGATGTAAATCTGGTTGACTCCTGAGTGGATGTCTGTCGGCTTGAAGCCGCCGAGGTGTCCTCAGTCAACATAGTTACTGTTGAGCCATCTGTTGTTCTACCTGTAGTAGACAAAACAGGCGTTTGTAATGTCTGTGTCGAAGTTAATGTACCAGTGGCTTCTTCAGTTGAAAGCAATGTTATTGTTTGTTCGGTGGTAAGCGGTGTTGTGTTAAGTGTTGTGGCTTCCTGAGTTGATGCAACCGAGCTTTCATCAATTGTTACCGGCACTGTTGTGTACTCGGTTGTTTTCAATAAAACAGTTGTTTGCTGGATTGTGCCTGGCGTAGATGTCTCTTCTGTTGAAACAGTAGCAGTTCTATCGACTGTGGATGCGGTAGTTGAAGAGACTGAGGTCGCTTCAGATGTAGGTAGTGTTAACTGTTGAGTTGACACGACCGAGGTTTCCCCAGTCGCTGTAGATGCTGTTGTAGGCGTTGTTTCTCTGGTTGTTGACGATGATGTTCTTCGTTGTGTTGTTTCCTCTGTACTTGATGCGGTAGTGAGCTCTTCAGAGGTGAGTAAAGTTGATAGCACAGTGGTAGATTCGGGCGATTGTGGTGTTGTATCAAGTGTAGTAGTCTGTAGGGTTGACACAGCCGAGCTTTTCTCAGTTGTTAGATGCGTCCCTGTTGGTTGGGTCGTGGGTTGCGTAGTTGCATATTCGGTTGATGTAACAGTGGCTTCCTCAGTGCTAACTACGGTTGTTGGTGGTGCTGTTGGTGGTTCAGTTTCTGTCGTCTGAAATGTAGTAGGTTGCCGACTTGTGATAGCCGAAGTTTCCCTAGTAGATATTGGCGTTGTAGGGTTTAGCGTTGTCTTAGCTGTAGTTGATGGGACCGTTGTTTGTGTAGTTTGAGTCGGCACTTCTGTTGTTATCAGTGTAGTTGGAGGGACAGTAGTTTGTTTCGTTGTGTATGGTGTTGTATGAACTGTTGTAGGCTGCTGAGTTGAACCATCAGTTGTTACAGACGTTGTTTCCTTGGTTGTTTCATCTGTGGCTGATGTAACCGTTGTTTCTAGTGTTGTGTGATGAGTCGTTACTTCTGGTGTTGCATCTTCAGTTGTAACCAGTGTCGTATACATAGTTATTGGAGTCACAGTGGTTTGTTCATTTGTCTGTGGTGTTGTACTATGTGTAGTCGGTAGTTGGGTTGGCAAGGTTGAAGTTTCGTCAGTGGTTAAAGATGTAACTGGGGTTACAGTAGTGCCCTCTGAAGTTGGTAGAGTCGTAGAGTGTTGTGTTGTTTGATGCATACTTGTCTCTTCCGTTGGTGTAGCAGTCGCCTCTACAGTACTAACGACTGTCGTTGGCGGAGCCGTTGTTTGCTCAGATGCATATTCTGTTGTCTGGGATGTACCTGTTTGTTGGCTTGTAATGACAGATGTTTCCTCAGTAGATATAGACGAAGTTGGAGGCAGCGTTGTTACACCTGTAGCTGAAACGAAGCTTGTTGGTTGCGTTGTGATTGGTTTGGTTGTCTCTTCGGTTGATGTAGCCGTTGCTTCTTCGGTACTTATTACAGTTGTTGGATGTTCTGTTGTTTGCTCGGATGTATATTCTGTTGTCTGAGGTGTAGTTGCCTGTGTTTTTGTGAAAACCGATGTTTCCTCTGTAAATATAGACGTTGTGGGCGGCAACGTTGTTCCATCGGTTGTCTTAGCTGTAGTTACTGGGATCGATGTTTGTGTTGTGTGTTTTGTGTATGTTGAAGCTTCGGTTGATGTTGCAGACACTTCCTCTGTGGTAAAAGATGTAGTTGGTGGGGTCGTGGTTTGTTCAGATGTAAACGGTGTTGTTTGGACTGTAATTGTCTGTTGCGTTGTAACGTCTGTTGTTTTGGACGTTGTTGGAAGTACCGTTGTTTCTTCGGTTGTTTCACCTGTAGCCGATGTAACCGTTGTCTGTTGTGTAGAATGAGGCGTCGTTTCCTCTAAAGTAGATAACACGGTTACTTCTTCAGTTGTAGATACTGTTGTTGGAGGGGCGGTAGTTTGTTGGGATGGGTGTGGTGTTGTATCAAGTGTTACTTGAGTCGACCCGATTGAGGTGTCCATAATCGTTGTAGACGTTGCTTTAGGCACTGTTGTTTTATCTGTAGTTAACTGTGTTGTTTGGGCTATAGTTGTCTCTTCAGTTGATGTAGCAGTGACTTCTTTAGTTGTTACCAACGTAGTTGGGGAGGCAGTTGTTTGTTCAGTTGTATGATCTAGTGTCTGTGTTGACGGTTGGATTGACGTATAACCAGTAGTTGACTGTCCTGTCGTTTGCTTTGTTGTGTACAATGCACTGGTTTCTTCAGTTAACGTTACAGTAACCTCGGTTGTAGTATATGTTGGAGGGACAGTTGCATCTTGTGTAGTCTGAGGTAAAGTTGTTTCCTGTGTAACTGATGTTTCCTCAGGTGTTACAATGGTGGTTGTTTCCTCAGTTATTTCATGTGTTGTTGATACCACCGATGTCTGTAGCGTTGTATGAGGTGTAGTGGGAATTGCAGTGGATGTACCAGGTGCCTCCTCTGTTGTAACTTCAGTTGTATGAATGACCGTGGTTTGGTCTGATGTTTGTAGTGTAGGGCGAGGTGTAGTTGTCTGTTGGGTTGACACAACGGATGTCTCCTCAATCGTTGTAACTGCCGTTGTTTCTTCTGTTGTATCGCTTGTAGTTGGCGGGGCTGTTGTTGGTTGTGTTGTGTGGGGCGATGTTCCCTGTTCGGCTGATACCGTTTGTACTGTTGTTGGAAGTACGGTAGTTTCAGTTACCATGGAATCCGTAGTTGTTTGGTCTGTTGGCGTAAGTGATGTTTTGTCGGTTGTCGTTAACTCGGGTAGCGTGGACTGGTAAGTTGTTTCAAGAGATGTTGATCCTGTGCTCTGTTCAATTGTTTGCAGTGTTGTAAGAAGTCCAGTTGTACGGTGTGTTGGCGGCACAGATGTCTCATCTGTAGTAATAGACGTTGTTGAAGGTGTAGTACTTGGGCCACCTGTTGTTGATATGTTCGGTACGGTAGTCTGCTGGGCCGATGTTGGCGAGGTTATCTCGGTTATGACGGACGTCATTGGAGGTGCTGCGGATTCTGTAGTTGCTCCACCTGTGGTAGATTTCGCAGTGGTTACTGCCGTTGGTTGTTGTGTTGTGTAAATGGTTGCGGTTGTTTGAGGCAACGTTGTTATACCTGATGTTTCACCCCTAGTTGATAGTACCATTGTTTGTGGCGTTGTGTGAGGTGTGTCTGCCTGTGTTGTTGGCATAACTGAGGCTTCCTCAGTTGTAAGCAGCGTTGTAGGAGGGGCAGTTGTTTGTTCGCTTGTATGTGGTGTTGTCTGAGGGGTAGGTGTTTGTGATGTCTCAGTCATAGGTGTGGTTGTAACCGTTGTCGTTAGAGGGGCAGTGGTGTGTTCAGATGTCTGTTGTGTTGTGCCAAGTGTTGTTGTCTCTCGTGTTGATACAACAGAAGTTTCTTCAGTCGTTATAGACGTTGTCAAAGTCACAGTTGTTTTCTCAGTTGCCTCACGTGTAGTTAACAAAAGCGTTGTTTGCTGTGTTGTGCGTGGTGTAGAAGCATATGGGGATGTATCGGTTGCTACTTCAGTTGTGATGACGGTTGTTGGAGGCGGAGTGGTCTGTTGTGTACTTGGCTGGGATGACCCAGACGTTACTTCAACTGTTGATAAGAGCGTTGTTTGTTGCATTGTATATGGCGTTGTTGTTTCTTCAGTTGATGTAACAGAGGTGACGTCTTCTGTTGTAACTAGTGTAGTTTCAGAGGCAGTTGTTTGTGCAGATGTAACTTCTGTTGTCTGAGGTGTAGATGTCTGTTGGGTTGAAAAGAGCGAGGTTTCTTCAGTCATCATTGATGTTGATGGAGGCATGGTTGTTTCTTCAGTTGTTATACCTGTGGTGGATAGTATTGATGCAGCAGTTGTTTCATCTGTAGTTGGAGGGACAGTGGTTTGTATTGATGCGTGTTCTGTTGTTTCAGTCGTAGATGCCCGTTGAGTTGATACGACAGACGTCATAGTCGTTAATGGGGGAGTGGTTGTTTCTTCAGTTGTTTTACCTGTGCCTGTGGTTGATAGTATTGATGTCTCATCCGTTGTAAGTAGCGTAGTTCGAGGAACTGTAGTTTGTTCGGTTGTATACTCTGGAGTTGACACGACAGTTGTTTCTTCAGTCGTTATGGATGTTGACTGAAGCATGGTTGTCTCTTCAGTTGTTACACCTGTGGTTGGTAGTGTCGGTGTAACAGTGAGTTCTTCAGTTGTAAGTAGTGTAGTTGAAGGGGCGGTTGGTTGTTCAGTTGTATATTGTGTTGTTTGAGATGTAGATGTCTGTGGAGTTGACACCACAGAGGTTTGTGAAAGCATGGTTGTTTCTTCAGTTGTTTTGCCTGTGGTTGATAGTATAGATGTGGTTGCCAGCTCTTCGGTTGTAAGTAGTGTAGTTGGAGGGACTGTAGAGTGCTCGGTTGTATACTCTGGAGTTGACACGGCAGTTGTTTCTTCAGTCGTTATTGTTGTTGACTGAGGCATGGTTGTTTCTTCAGTTGTTCCACCTGTGGTTGAAAGTGTGGATGTAAACGTGAGTTTTTCAGTTGTAAGTAGCGTGGTTGGAGGGGCAGTTGTTTGTTCAGTTGTCTGTTGTGTTGTTTGAGATGTAGATGTCTGTGGCCGTGGAGTTGACACCACCGAGGTTTGTAGAGGCATTGTTGTTTCTTCAGTTGTTTTACCTGCGGTTGTTTCATCCGTTGTAAGTAGTGTGGTTGGAGGAGCAGTTGTTCGCAAAGATGTGTATTCTGTTGTAAGAGATGTGGATGATTGTAGAGTTGCCATCACCGAGGTTTCTTCAGTCGCTATTGATGTTGACTGAGGCATTGTTGTTTCTTCAGTTCTTTTGCCTGTGGTTGATAGTATAGATGTAGTTGCCAGCTCTTCAGTTGTAAGTAGTGTAGTTGGAGGGACTGTAGAGTGTTCGGTTGTATTTTGTGTTGGCACGACAGTCGTTATTGTTGTTGACTGAGGCATGGTTGTTTCTCCAGTTGTTACACCTGTGGTTGAAGGTGTTGATGTAACAGTGAGTTCTTCAGTTGTAAGGAGTGTAGTTGAATGGGCGGTTGTTTGTTCAGTGGTATGTTGTGTTGGTTGAGATGTAGATGTCTGTGGAGTTGACACCACAGAGGTTTGTGGAGGCATGGTTGTTTCTTCAGTTGTTTTACCTGTAGTTAATAGCATTGATGTAGCAGTTGTTTCATCCGCTGTAACTAGTGTAGTTGGAGGGACTGTAGAGTGTTCGGTTGTGTATTGTGGAGTTGACACGACCGTTGTTTCATCAGTCGCTATTGATGTTGACGGAGGCATTGTTGTTTCTTCAGTTGTTTTGCCTGTGGTTGATAGTATAGATGTAGTTGCCAGCTCTTCAGTTGTAAGTAGTGTAGTTGGAGGGACTGTAGAGTGCTCGGTTGTATTTTGTGTTGACACGACAGTCGTTATTGATGTTGACTGAGGCATGGTTGTTTCTTCTGTTGTTACACCTGTGGTTGAAAGTGTTGATGTTACAGTGAGTTCTTCAGTTGTAAGTAGTGTAGTTGAAGGGGCGGTTGTTTGTTCAGTTGTATGTTGTGTTGTTTGAAATGTAGATGTCTGTGGAGTTGACACTGCCGAGGTTTGTGGAGGAATTGTTGTTTCTTCAGTTGTTATACCCGTAGTAAATAGCATTGATGTCGCAGTTGTTTCATTCGCTGTAACTAGTGTGGTTGAAGGGGCAGTTGTTTGTAAAGATGTATGTTGTGCTGTTTGAGATGTTGATGTCTGTGGAGTTGACACCACCGAGGTTTGTGGAGGCATGGTTGTTTCTTCAGTCGTTTTACCTGTTAGTAAATAGTATCGATGTTGCAGTTGTTTCATCCGCTTAGTTGAAGTTGATGTATGATCGGTTGTTTGAGGTGTAGATGTCTGTTGTGTTGACACCACCGAAGTTTTCTCAGTCGTCAAAACTGTAGATGGAGGCATGGGTGTTTCTTTAGTTGTTTCAGATGTGGTTGAAAGTATTGATGTAGCAGTGAGCTCTTCGGTTGTAAGTAGCGTTGTTGGAGGGACAGTAGTTTGTTCAGATGTATGCTTTGTCGTTTGTGATGTAGATGTCTGTTCAGATGGCATGACTGTGGTTTCTTCAGTAACTAGTTGTGTTGTTCGAGGCATAGTTGTTTCTTCAGTTGTTTTACCTGCTGTTAATAGAGTTGATGCAATAGAGGATTTCTGCGTTGTAAGAAGCGTGGTAGAAGGGACAGTGGTTTGTTCAGATGTGTATTGTGTTGTCTGAGGTGTAGATGTCTGTGGAGTTAAGATGACCGTGGTTGGTTCAGTCGTCATTGAAGTTGATTGAGGCATGGTTGTTTCTTCAGTTGTGACTGACGTAGCTGTCAGCTTCTCGGTTGTATGTAGCGTGGTTTGTTCAGATGTATGTTTTGTTGTTTGAGGTGTAGATGTCTGTAAAGTTGACATCACTGAGTTTACGTCAGCCGTTATCGACGTTAATTGAGGTATGGTTGTTTCTTCAGTTGTTTTACTTGTGGTTAAAGTTGTAGAGGCAACGTCCTCTGTTGTATGTAGCGTTGTTGAAGGGTCAGTAGTTTGTTCGGTTGAATGTGCCGTGGTGTCACGTGTAGTTTCCTGTCGTGTTGATATGACTGAGGTTTCCCCAGTCGTCATGACAGTGGATTTGAACATGGTTGTTTCTTGAGTTGTTTTACCTGTGGTTGTTGTGACATCTTCTGTTGTAGCCAGCGTTGTCGGAGGCATCGTCGTTTCACTAGTTGTTTTACCTGTGGTTGATAATACTGAGGTAGCAGTGGCCTTCTCGGTTGTAAGTGGCGTAGTTGGAGGAGCAGTGGTTTGTACAGATGTGTGCTCTGCTGTTTGAGGGGTAGATGTCTGTTCAGATGTCATGGCTGTGGTTTCTTCAGTCACCATCGACGTTGTTTCTTTAATTGTGGTTGATGGTATTGATGTAGCAATGGTTTCATCCGTTGTAAGTAGCGTAGTTAGAGGGACTGTTGTTTGTTCAGGTGTATGGTCTGTTTGTAATGTAGATGTCTGTTCAGATGTCATGACCGTGGTTTCTTCAGTCACCATCGACGTTGATCCAGGCATTGTTGTTTCGCCAGTTGTTTTACCTGTGGATAACAGGGTTAATGTAACAGAGGCAGCCTCTGTTGTAAGTAGCGTGGTAGAAGGGACAGTGGTTTGTTGGGATGTAAATTCTTTTGTCTGTGTAGATGTTTGTTGAGTTGAAACGACCGTGGTTTCCCCAGTCGTCAAAACTGTTGATTGAGGTATGCTTGTTTCTTCTGTGGGTTTATCTGTAGTTGATACTATGGATGTTACAGTCAGTTCCTCGGTTGTAAGTATGGTAGTTGGAGGATCGGTTGTTTGTTCAGATGTATGTTGTGTTGTCTGAGATGTAGATGTCTGTTGAGATGACATGACCGAGGTTTCTTCCGTCGATATTGGCGTTGATATGGGTATAGTTGTTTCTCCAGTTTGTTTACCTGTGGATAATAGGGTTGATGTGACAGAGGCAGTCTCTGTTGTAAGTAGCGTGGTAGAGGGGACAGTGGTATATTGGGATGTAACTTTTGTCTGAAGTGTGGATGTTTGATGAGTTGAAACGACCGTGGTGTCCCCAGTCGTCAAAAGTGTAGATTGAGGTATGATTGTTTCTTCTGTGGGTTTATCTGTTGTTGATACTATGGATGTAAGTATGGTAGTTGGAGGACCAGTTGTTTGTTCAGATGTATGTTGTGTTGTCTGAGGTGTAGATGTCTGTTGAGTTGAAACGTCCTTGGTTTCCCCAGTCGTCAAAACTGTTGATGGAGGTATGCTTGTTTCTTCAGTTTGTTTGCCTGTAGTTGATAGTATTGATGTTACAGTCAGTACCTCGGTTGTAAGTATGGTAGTTGGAGGATCAGTTGTTTGTTCAGATGTATGTTGTGTTGTCTGAGGTGTAGATGTCTGTTCAGATGACATGACCGAGGTTTCTTCCGTCGGTATTGGCGTTGATACTGGGTGTAGTTGTTTCTTTGGTTGTTTTATCCGTGGTTAGAAGCGTTGATGTAACTGTCGATGCATCTGTTGTGAGTAGCGTAGTTTTAGGAGCAGTAGTTTGTACAGATGTATGTTCTGTTGTCTGAGGTGTAGATGTCTGTGGAGTTGGCACGACTGATGTTTCGTCAGTCATGATTGTTGTTGAGTGAGGTACAGTTTCTTCAGTTGTTTTTGTACCGGTTGCTATTGATGTATCAGTGACTTCCTCGGTTGTAAGTAACGTAGTTAATGGGGTGGTTGTTTGTGCAGATGTAACTTCTGTTGTCTGAAGTCTGGAGGTTTGTAGAGTTGACAAAATCGTGGTTTCTCCGGTCGCCGTTGTTGTGTTATGCACAGTTGACAGCACCGTGGTATCAGCAGTGGTGACATCAGCTGATACGTGTGTTGTGTGAAGTGAGGTAGGTGGTGCTGTGCTGCCAACTGTTGTTACACCTGGTGGCAGACGTGTTGTAGCAAAGATAGTTGTGTCTACATTAGATACATAATACACATGTTTCCACGTGAGTTTAGCATGTCAGTATGGTTAGTAGTGTGAGAATGAGTATTGACATTTGTGGAAACGTGTATTGATATATCTGCTGTGATAGGCTATGTTTAGAAATGTTGTTGACTGACGAAGTCGTCTTGTTGACAAGAAGTGCTGATATTTGATAACTTAGATGTGCGTTGAAAGATGCAGAATGACGGTGTCAGACAATCTCGGTATCTATTTTTGTAACGTGTGTTGATAGATCTGTTATAGTATGCTGATAGAGCTGCTTTGTGAAAATATGGAGACTTGTCATTGATATTTGCGTAGTGGGGTTTGTTTCACTATGATATGTGTTGATATGCCATGTGTCGATTTGTATGTCGGCATAGGGATGTCGGAATATCTTGTTATAGTGCTGTGTTACGCATTGGGAGATTGTACTGTAAATTGCATGCATCAACATCTATGGGCATGTCCTAAGTTGCACCTCGTGAACCTTTCACAAGAGGGCGCACATTCTTAGTCCTTTACACAACCATAAATATGATGGTTACATTTACTCACCATCAGTAGTTTGTCCTGACACCGTGCCACAAGACTGACCAGACAGACGGAGGTCTAGCTCCCTCCACGTCACAACCACGAGACACGCACACACCCATGACCGCAGGGACGGCATCCTGACCCCGCCTCAGTCAACCGACGGGACCACCACGCTGGGAGCAAAGTTGTCAAAACGGAAAAAGTCCATAAAGATGCCAAAATACACAACAAAATCGCCAACCAATCAGGAACCAACCAACCAACCAACCAACCAACCAACCAACCAACCAACCAACCAACCAACCAACCAACCAACCAACCAACCAACCAACCAGGTGACGTCATACCCACAATCTTTGGAACGATGTCAATGGACCAAGTGACGTCACCAAACTGATCGTATTCCTATCCCAGCGTTATTCGTTATTCACAATATAATATCGCATTTCAAAACCTCACTCAACAGTGATACAAGGATGACCCAAAAGAATGAGTCGATCCATTGTGAAGACTACAGTTTGCCAACACCTGTGTTGTTAGTAATTATTGGCTGTTCTAAACGGGCGTTGCCCCCTGTATGAGTTGTAAGGTTGATTAAAGCTTACAGTTATTTAGAAGGCGATTGTTAGCTCGCCAAGATGGCGGGTAATAGGTCACTTGACCTTTAGTATTTCCTGCCCAACATAGCAACGTCACATTTTGTGTTTGGTTTACAGAACGTCAGCATGGCGTAGGGGTGTATGCTAAGCAGAACGGTAAATCCTTGGTGTTAACTCTGTGTATGTAGGATAAGACCAAAGCCTGGGCGTTAGCTCTAACGTAACGTTTGGTAAGCCTGGTAACCTTTCAAAGAGCTCTAACACACGTCATGGCATCACTCTCAAACGCTACGCCGGGTAGTTTATGTAACAACGGACCGATTTTGTTGGGGTTTTGCATGTATTGAAGCTATCGTCTCGCTGTGTCATCTCTAGAGCGGAGATGGGTGGGCTAAGTATTATCCCATGATAATTGGTTAACCTGTTGTTATCGTTGCCTGATGCTGTAAATATTTGCCTTCTCCGTGGCTTTAATATTTATTTAGCGGTGGGCTCGAGGGGAAAGTAGGTTTTCGCTTTATTTGAAGTCTGAGGTATGAAATTCTATGGTATAGCAGAACTATAAAACACATTTTCCAGGTAGGAGAAAAATCATCGCAAACTTTTTTTGCATTTACAGCATCGTAGTTTCAAGACGCAATGAGGCACCTCCCCCCTCTATGCAAAATATATAGTATAATATACGATTCGCCAAAAAACAGTTACTCAAGCAACTGGATATGATTTTGAAAACGTCAGACGTTTCAGCTAGTATCCACTAGCTTTCGTCAGTGACTGAGAGACCAGAGGGGAAAGCAGGTTTATATACACAACCTATTGATTGATGTGCAAATATATACGATTCGTCCCCCCCACATAGAGTGCACTGTAAAGTGATATACTGTGAATGATAAGGCAGATTAAAAATGGAAGTAATTTAAAAAGAGTCGAGTTAAACAATGCCTTACATGGGAGTATTGCAAACCAAATAAGGGGATAGGTAAATAATAGCATACAATTCTATTTGGTGTCTAACCAACGTTACACCGTTTGGTTCAGTTGACACAGTTTAGTTACTTTTATGTATGCATGAGGAGGCACAACACAATAACGTTCTCGTATCTATACCTAAATAGCTTTTATATTATGCACGTTGGGTGTGTGCTTTCGTGACCACGACACTTAGCCCCTGGAAACACGCATTAACTTATGAATATTTCATTCACTTCTTTAACCCTTCATTTCAATGGGTTATAAATGGGATAACGTCTTATAATTGTGTTACTAACCAAAGTGGTAAGGAACTGTCATATTCGCAGTACGATCGCAAACTGAAGGCATTCTTGGGATAGTGGTGCATATGTCGTTGCTCAGTTTTACAGAGACGATGTTGTTCCTGCCCTCCCCTCAAATGTTTTGGGTGTTCTGCTATTTCAACAGCACACTTAACTTTGGGTGTTCTGCTATTTCAACAGCACACTAACTTTGGATGTTCTGCTATTTCAACAGCACACTTAACTTTGGGTGTTCTGCTATTTCAACAGCACACTAACTTTGGATGTTCTGCTATTTCAACAGCACACTAACTTTGGATGTTCTGCTATTTCAACAGCACACTTAACTTTGGGTGTTCTGCTATTTCAACAGCACACTAACTTTGGGTGTTCTGCTATTTCAACAGCACACACACTAACTGAAAAAACGTTGAAATGACTGTTCAGTTATTCCACAGTGTTGTCTACTCCCTAGAAATTTTTGTGGCAGGTTTAAGGCTCTTTTGACTAAATGTTTAAATGGGCGTGCGGTAATGCTCGGGACTGTTCCTGATCAAGGACAAATGAGTAATTACAAAAGTTTGACAGTGCTCGTTATATTGTACAAAGTTGATAGTGTTGACCCCCCCCCTTTTCGAAAGAAAAAAGTCTCTGCTCCTAACTAAACATATTGAATAATCGTCCAGTGATTCCCAGCAATGGCCTTGTACCCCTTAACTGAGCTTTTGCTCCTTACTGTACAAAGTTGATGGTGCTGTCTCCACTCTCGAAATTTCGTGTATGTTTTTAAAATGCTGCCTTTAAATAGCCGTAATTCTCAAGGCCGTTCCTGTTTAAAAACACGCGGGTCAGTACACAAATGTGACAGTACTCGGTCTCCTACAAAGTTAACAGTGTTGCCCCCCCCCCCTCGAAATTTCATGACAGATTTTTAACTTCTTCTTTTTCTTTAAAAATGTTTAATTGACCGTTCAGTATTGCCCAGGGCCGTTCCTGTTGAATGACAAACGGACTATTAGGCAAAGGTGACAATGTGAAGTCGTTAATTTTTCCCCTAAAAATTTCATTGGAGTTTTAAGAGTTCTGGTTTTCAAGGTTCTCATTTCCACTAAATGTTTAAATGGCCGATCAGTAATGCCTAGGGCTGTTCTTGGTGAAGGACACATGGGTCATTACACAGATTTCAATTAGAGTTGACGACAAGTTGTTTAGTTCTAAAATTATTGAGTGCCCCCTCTCCCTCCCAGATCTCCTATGCATGTTGCTTTGGTGGCTAACATGGACGTTAGATTCTCAGAACTACTACAGTTAGTGTGCTTCATAATGGGACAGTGTATTCTGCAGAGGTTGTTGACCGGGTGTCTCCATACAGGTGTCACCCATTCTCTGACTGAGGCTAGTCAAGCGGAAATTCTCACGGGCCGCGGGAAGTTGTCAAGACAGGGCCGCGATCAGTGCACGCTGATAAGAACGTTATGGGTGTTCTATTCAATTTCACACAACTAATTTAGAAAAAGATCCATCGTTATAAGTCAAAACCGTCACTCAACCAACCTCGACGTGTTTCCACATATTTTAAAATAATTTTGTCAACAACAGGGATCGAATTATAAACAAGCGAAATTCGGACTCCTGCGTTTGTTTTTGATAACAATTGACAAACATGAACATTCCATTACATAGCAAAAACGTTTCTCAAGAGAAAAATTGCAACTTACATGAAACCAGAAAGAAGTGTGTCCTGAGTCCAAATGCTTAGAAAGAGTAAGGAATGCTCCTCAAGGAATATACAACGATGTCAATCCGAATGGTACACATGCACACGCGAAGATTTTGATCGAACTTGATGTACCGATCAGAGCTTTAGTGTTGCTGTGGCCATTTCAATGCCAAATAGTCGTCCCAACACACAAAACTAAGCTCATGACATCATCACAATCGGCACACAACGGTAGAAGACACGCTCTTCAGTGACAAGTCCACAAATATAGCCAGATTTGGTGCCAAGCCAGTAAAGTATCATCACAGTTTTCACAGGCTAGTGTTCTGTTCTTACGGTACAGCCTCTCAAATTTGACGTGATTATACACTTGTTAATTACCGCCCTTCGGGCACTTGCTTCCGGCTAGACTGATCCAAGTTTAACATGGCACGGGGATATCTTGATCTGTCAAATTCATTTAGAGAAGTTCTAAATATCAGAAATAACTGTACATTTGTAAATAACTCTTTAAATGAATGCAAAACGGATGTGAGGTGTTTTAGACGGTGTTGCCATTGCTGAGTTTGTCAGGTGTATACAAGTGAAGACAACAGACCGCCTGTGTCTGTACGCAGTTGTTTCTGAGGGAACATTTTTTCTCACGGGAAGGAGTCGTTTGATAATTATAGCTCGGATGAGTTCACTGACAGCATAGGTAGGGGCTGGGTGGGCTGGTTACATGGTCTGTGATTAAACATACATAATCAGGGCATTCTGTTACAACATACTAAACATTACCTTACAAAAGCACGTACTTGATCTTAAAATATTGATGACAAAAGCTGCATTTTTCTTATATGACTCTAAAGTTAGATAATAATTAGAATGCATTCAATTTCATACTATAGAGTAAGTTAGGAACTGTAACAATATAGAGCATGTACTTTATGATTTAAGGACCTCTTATGTTACAATTATAGACCCCTGACGTCTTATTTCAGATCAGTTTACCAATTGCCCACGGCAACATGCCATATCCGGAAAACAGCCTTAGATACGATTTTATCAATATCTTGAACAGTGCGCTTGTGTAGAATAGTTGTAACTACGTTTCCCTTCCATAGTATACACCTTACCGTATTATTGTTTGGTTTTGAATCTACATCTTGAGGCGGGTAGTGTTAAAAGGATTGCGTGTAGCTAATATCAGAAGACCTTTTGGTGACCCGTAAATAAGACCACTTTATTTCTGGCCAATTAAACCGTACATGTTAAGGGTGTAACCTGTGTTAGGACTGTATTGTTCCCGTACCCTTAACGCCGTGGGAAGACAGTGATCTTTACACAAGGTGCGTCACCTCAGGGAGATACCATCTGCACCACATAGGGGAGTGAAGGTTATGGGACCCACGACATGCGCAGACGTGACTGCTACCGTCACCCGTAGTGACGGAACGCTTGGTGACGTCATTATCAAACGATACTCCACAGCTAAACAACGACATGGAATAACGACACCTATGGTGGCTTCTATTAAAGTAGCCTCTAAACCTTGCCGAATTGACTCTCTACTCATAGACGTTAGTTAAGATAAATTGAATAAAAATTGACCCTCGCTGTTTTGTCACGTCTGGTAGAGAAAGGCCACTCTGTCTCATAAACGTTCCATTGATTGTACCTGGAAAGACCTGTACTTAGCTTTTACAGCATAAACGGTAAATTCAAAGTAGCCTTAGTGACAAGCTCTTTATTGAACACAACATACTGTAAGTCCTTTTCCAGTGGTCTATGATAATCCTCACATTCAAAGCCACAACAACGATTCCATTGATTGTACCTAGAAAGACCTGTACTTAGCTTTGACAACGCAAACGTTAAATTCAAAGTAGATTCATTATAGCATTAGTGACAAGCCCTTCATAAAACACAATATACTGTAAGTCCTTTTCTAGTGGTCTATGATAATTCCGGCATTCAAAGCCACAACGACGACAAATTTCTTACCAGTAGCAGTAGCTATTTATATTGATACTTTTGTCTTCGCACGTGTTCATATATATTGCCTTACAAAAGAATTACATAAATATTAAATTTTGACACAGACAAGGCCGTTGCATTGATACATTAACTATTCCACCTATTCACTACTCGCCATTATATCTCATACAATGCATATTGAACGTCATTTTTTCTCCTTATAATACATGGGCGTCACCAGTTTTTAACAAAGAAGCCGAGGTCATTGACTTCTCAACGTCCGGTGTTTTTTTATATTCTTGTTGCAGATACGTTTGTAACTCTATAATACTCAAATATAAATGATTCATATTTGAAGCACTGACTATGACTATCTGGAGAATTATCTGGAGTACCATAGGAAGGGGAATTTATTTTTCTACAATTTCACCAGAGGATTATAGAAAAGAATAACTGTAACCATGCTTAATGCATGTCCGGACGCGTGTTTTGTCTCAGGGGCCTTCAACTTTGACATATTACCCACAATACATTGCGCCTCGCATGCGTGGTTGGATCCCTTAACTCACTTATTACAAGAGTCATAATATAAAACTTAAAGTCAGTTGAAACAAAACGATAAAGATTCCTTTGTAGTTGTGTTCCGTAGTTTAAGTATTTCTAGCAATAAATGTAGAAGGTATGGCGTGTTAATAATACTTCATCAACTATAATGCCATGTACTACGTAATATGAAATAAATCAAGCAACTAAATTTAGTACTGAATAAATTCAGATGATTGAATAATTATATTTTACGTTGTACGTTCTACATGGATGTGTAGCCTTCATTGACGAAAATGCAAAAAATTGTAATCTGACTCATTGATTTAATTTAAGACACATTACATATAAAGCTTAGCTTAGGAGATGAGCCTAAACGTAAACGTATTATCAGACGTACTTACGTGTATACCGATTGACATCAAGGACGTATTTTTGTTCCTTACAATAATATATCTTTATCGTTGAATAATTTCATTAGGCTGATGAATGATTGAATAGCAATGTTCTTTATTCGCACCCACTTGTTGTGAATAAAGGACCTTGCTATTCAATATATATCGTTATGCAGTACCATTCGTATTAGTATTTACATTTTATCATAATATCTTCCTTTGGTGAAAAATTGTTGCTAGAGTACTGGGGGTATGCCCGTATGTTCTGTCATAACACAGTTAAACAGTTCGCCCATTTCTAAAAATATAAACCTATGGCCATGGATATTATTAGGCGTACTTTGTATCCTTTTTATATGGCAGCGATCATACATATGCTTATGATACATGTATAATATCCTCTTACGATCATTAAGCGATATCTGAAGTCACCCATGTGTTTTACTTTCGTCTACACAGATAAAGTACCATCTGATGCTTGCTCTAGATTTCAGGACATGACAGGTTGGCATCGATCATAACAGCTAGAGATAGAAATACCTTCCATATCTTCTACATAAAATGTCTTGAAATATAGACTACAATCCACGTGCACATAGCAGTTTCATAAAAAAGGACTATTTGTAACATTGAAATTGAACCTACCTTAATATGAAGTATCCTAATCAATCTTACATGCCCGCACTCCCAACCGCTGGAATGTTTAGGTCTTTCTTACGTCGGTTCCACATATGGATTTACTACACCACTTATGCTTATCATCAAATGGTTTGAAAATACTCCACTTCATCCAGCGGCACTTGTAATGAATCGATAGAGTGTTTACTATCACGCACCATGCGGTACAACTATGTCCCTAGATGATTGCAAACCGATGAAGGAAGGACTACTCACAACAATAGAAGACTTAAATAAGTAATAAGTTCACCCAGCAACCGGCATGTCTGTCCCCCAAAGGGACCCCTGTTGTCTAAAACCACCAAAGCATGGCGGTGAATCATGGTCTATTGTCAGTCGGGACGTTGATAGTTTGTGTTTGAAGTTCGCGGTATCTGTTGCTATCTTGTTTCTAATCTTTAATTTCGGATTGTTTACACGATGTGCTTTTATAACTGTCAATTATTAGATGCTGTGATATCAGCATTTGTAGATATTAGTAATAATCTCATTCATCTAAGAATGCATACAATTCAATGATGGCATTTTAAATTTGTAATTGTGTTAATTATGTGTCATTTCCCTCGCTATTTTGGGATACACGAAAAAGGAAAAGACTGGTAACTTAGGCCGATTCACCTTTAATTTTCGAAATCGATTATCGGTTAGTAAATCTGGTGAACTGGTTTTGTTAGATAATTCAGTACTGCTTAGATACTACATGTACTACCAAACACTTCTATCCTAACAAGGTCAAGGCCAGGATACTTAACAGGATGCAGATATCTTCGACTACTAGTATTTGTCATGGGGGTACAATGGTGTTGAATCCCTACTGGTGAATTATCTCTTTTATCTAATAGGATTTACCACAGTCGTGGAAGGATTGACATGGCATGGCATGTGATTACCACATTTTCAAGGTGTCAACACTGAGAATAGACTGTAAGGTTAGAACCGCTCACACTAGAAGTAAGATCTTTAACGTGCTCGAGACGTGGCTCTCCACCCTTAAACACGGGATCTCCAGCTTTACGTCCCATCCGAGAAGGAGTCCCTATTAAACCGAAGCTAGGTACTCATTTTCACCGGCGTCAAGTGAGAATATAGGTGTCTCTTGGCCAAGTGCACAACACTGAGGCCTGCTAGAGATTCGAACCCACAGCCTTCGGATTCAACAACCCTAACCACAAGACTACCTTGCCACCTAGCTATCCAGAAAGACAAAAGTTATCGCCAAGATGGGGACAGGTAATAAGACTTTAAACGTCGTCCAGATATTCTTAACAGACGGCGAAGAATCTTCCTCTCCGGATTGGTGTCTTTCCAATCTTGTATCGCAAGGGGGAGTCGAGTCGTGGGGGATGCAACACAAACAGCACCTCTACAATTTATATATACATAACCAGAAACAAAACAAATACAAGACTTGGAAATAATTAAAAGGGTCCCACACAAAGTATTATCTAGTCTGGTATTATCAAGTCTGAAAATGATTAAAAGGGTACGACAAAAAATTTTCTAGACTGGACAATGACTAAAGAGAAAAAAAAAAACCTATCTGTAGAAACATAACTGGAGCTGATATGGATAAGCAAAGGATTCCCCGATGCAAGAATCTCTGTACGTCTACTCAGACAATACGACAAATACGTCAAACAACCTTGGCAAAAAAGGACAACAGACAAACTGCAAGTAAATCCACAGCAACAGCCGAAGACATCCCGGTCCGTCATAGTTCTTGTGGCACGGCATCAGGACAATTAAGGAGGTTCAACCTCCCTGAGGCAATCAATCATATCAACGAAGTAAGATATTGATATCTGACGTACTAGAAATAAGATTGTAGTCATACCTGTTGTTGCCTCCCTTGAAGTCAGTATATCTGTAGTAATAAAGGAGGTTGTACCAGGCGTTGTGTCAAGGGAAGAAAATGCTCCAGTAGTTTCTAGGTCAGTAGTCCCCTTCGTAGTCGCTCTAGATGTTCTGATTGTAGATTTCGGCTCTGTAGAAAAATCTGTGGTTGGTAATTCTGTCGTAACAACTGTACTTGGAGGAGCACTTGTTTTCAAGGTGGACAACTGTTCTGTAGTTTGTTCCGTTGTTCTCGACTCTGTTGATGTTGTCAAAATGGTAGACTGTAGTTCCGTTGTAATATTTGTCGTTGAAGATTCTGTAGACACAACTGTAGTTGGAGACGTTGTTTCAACAGAAGACAATAGTTCTGTGGTTAGTCCTGTTGTTCCCCTCGATGTCGCATCAGATGATATACTGGTAGATAGTGGTTCTGTAGTAAGACTTGTAGGTGATTCTGCAGATATAACTGTAGTTAGGGAAGGTGTTGTAACCTTCGTACTCGCATCAGAAGATGTTATAATGGTAGATGGTGGCACCGTGGAAAAACGCGAAGTTGGTGATTCTGTAGACACAACTGTAGTTGCAGACGTTGTTTCAACAGAAGACAACTGTTCTGTGATTTGTTCTGTTGTGACCGACTTTGTTGTCCCTTTCGTAGTCACATCCGATGTTAAACCGGTAGATTGTGGTTCTGTAGTGATACGTGTTGTACGTAAACCTGTTGACATAATTGTAGCTGAAAGAGGCATTGTTTCAAGGGTAGATAATTGTTCTGTGGTTTGTGCTGTTGTTACATATTCTGTTGACGCGCTGGAAGTAGCACCAGATGTAATAATGGTAGATTGTGGTTCCGTAGTTAACCCTGTCATTGGTGATTCCGTAGACACAACTGTAGTGGGAGGCGTTGTTTCAACAGTGGATAGTTGTTCAGTGGTTTGTACTGTTGATATTGACCATGTTGATGTCAAAATTGTAGATGGTGACTCAGTTGTTATTCTTGTCGTTGGTGCTTCTGAAGACACAACTGTAGTGGGAGGCGTTGTTTCCACAGTGGATAGTTGTTCTGTGGTTTGTACTGTTGATGTCAAAATTGTAGATGGTGTCTCAGTTGTAATTCTTGTCGTTGGTGATTCTGTAGACATAACTGTAGTGGGAGGTGTCTTTTCCACGGTGGATAGTTGTTCTGTGGTTTGTAGTGTTGATATCGACCCTGTTGATGTCAAAATTGTAGATGGTGACTCAGTTGTAATTCTTGTTGTTGGTGATTCTGTAGACACAACTGTAGTGAGAGGCGTTGTTTCCACAGTGGATAGTTTTTGAGTGGTTTCTACTGTGGATATTGACCCTGTTGATGTCAAAATTGTAGATGGAGACTCAGTTGTAATTCTTGTCGTTGGTGATTCTGTAGACACAACTGTAGTGGGAGGCGTTGTGTCAAGAGTGGGTAGTTGTTCTGTGGTTTTTACAGTTGATAGGGACTCTGTTGTTGTCAAAATTGTAGATTGTGACTCAGTTGTAATTCTTGTCGTTGGTGATTCTGTAGACCCATCTGTAGTGGGAGGCGTTGTTTCAAGAGTGGATAGTTGTTCTGTGGATTGTACTGTTGATGTCAAAATTGTAGATGGTGTCTCAGTTGTGATTCTTGTCGTTGGTGATTCTGTAGACCCATCTGTAGTGGGAGGCGTTGTTTCAATAGTGGATAGTTGTTCTGTGGATTGTACTGTTGATGTCAAAATTGTAGAAGGTGTCTCAGTTGTAATTCTTGTCGTTGGAGATTCTGTGGACAAAACTGTACTTGGAGGCTCTGTTTCAACAGTGGATAGTTGTTCTGTGGTTTGTACTGTTGATGTCAAAATTGTAGATGGTGACTCAGTTGTAATTCTTGTCGTTGGTGATTCTGTAGACACATCTGTAGTCGGAGGTGTTGTTTCAACAGTGGACAGTTGTTCTGTGGTTTGTACTGTTGATAGGGACTCTGTTGATGTCAAAATTGTAGATGGTGACTCAGTTGTAATTCTTGTTGTTGGTGATTCTGTAGACCCATCTGTAGTGGGAGGCGTTGTTTCAATAGTGGATAGTTGTTCTGTGGATTGTACTGTTGATGTCAAAATTGTAGATGGTGACTCAGTTGTAATTCTTGTCGTTGGTGATTCTGTAGACACAACTGTAGTTGGAGGCGTTGTTTCAATAGTGGATAGTTGTTCAGTGGTTTGTACTGTTGATAGGGACTCTGTTGATGTCAAAATTGGAGATGGTGACTCAGTTGTAATTCTTGTCGTTGGTGATTCTGTAGACACAACTGTAGTTGGTGGATGTGTTGTTTCATCAGTGGATAGTTGTTGTGTGGTTTGTTCTGTTGATAGGGACTCAGTTGTAAATCTTGTCGTTGGAGATTCTGTAGACACAACTGTAGTGGGAGGCGTTGTGTCAACAGTGGATAGTTGTTCTGTGGTTTGTACTGTTGATGTCAAAATTGTAGATGGTGACTGAGTTGTGGATAGTTGTTCTGTGGTTTTTACTGTTGATGGGGACTCTGTTGATGTCAAAATTGTTGATGGTGACTCAGTTGTAATTGTTGTAGTTGTAGACACAACTGTAGTTAGAGGAGGCGTTGTTTCAACAGTGGATTGTTCTGTGGTTTGTACTGTTGATGTCAAAATTGTAGATGGTGAATCAGTTGTAATTCTTGTTGTTGGTGATTCTGTAGACACAACTGTAGTTGGAGGAGGCGTTGTTTCAACAGTGGATAGTTGTTCTGTGGTTTGTACTGTTGATGTCAAAATTGAAGATGGTGACTCAGTTGTAATCCTTGTCGTGGGAGTTTCTGTAGACACAACTGTAGTTGGAGGCGTTGTTTCAACAGTGGATAGTTGTTCTGTGGTTTGTATTGTTGATGTCAAAATTGTAGATGGTGACTCAGTTGTAATTTTTGTCGTGGGAGTTTCTGTATACACAACTGTTGTGGGAGGTGTTGTTTCAACAGTGGATAGTTGTTCTGTGGTTTGTACTTTTGATAGGGACCCTGTTGATGTCAAAATTGTAGATGTTACAGATGTTGTATTTTCAGTGGAGTACGCTATCGTTGTCTCCGGTGTGGTAAAAGTCGTAGAGCCTGTAGTCCCTACACTTGTAAAATATGATCCTCCAGGAGTAGACGTAGGCGGCTCGGTACCTGTTGTATTTGTTGCCAATGCTGTAAGGGCAAAAGATATCATTTGCGATTGTAGAAAATATTGTATAATTTGAGAATCATCATCTTTTTATGTTCCAGTTGATGTAAGAATTATATCAGCACCATCCTGAAACTGAGAAACCAGAAGCTACAAGGAAATTGGGATTTTACAAACAACGATGCTACTCTCCAAGCAGAGGTTAGGGCTTCGGGCAGGCGCAGGCACAGTACGTTCTACCGACGTGCTTCCGGAGGTAAGGCTGTAGCCTAAGATAAAGTTTTACCCTCTTCTTACCCTTAGTACACCACAGTCATGTCAATTTCAAATGTCATTCCTTGCAGATTATGCCAGATTTGGACTAAAAGTTTGACCTTTGATTAGAAACTCTTCGTCATTTGTTTTCCATGCACTGTCACGAAAGAACTGGGTGTGCAACTTGGTTTCCACAACACAGCGTAAACATTCCGCAGGTATGCATGCACTTTTACATCCTTCCGGATTACATGTATAATCTCAAGGATAATTCTTTAAAGGTCATGTAAATACGGTGTTATTCAGGGGATTGGCAAATGGCTTACCACAAAGCAGTGGAATCATTGCCATTGCAACCTAACAACATATAGGGTATCTTCTAACAGTACACTTACTCCCGAGAATAATTTCATCAGGTTGGTGACTGATTGAACAGCAAGGTTTATTTCTCACAATCAGTTGTTTGACAAGAGCCGAAGTTTCTAGTTTTACTGCCTACAAACGTAAGTTGATTATGACATACACACTATTATATATTGTTACAAAAAAGAGGTTCCAAATGTAAAGGATTGTTATATGCAATATATAGTGTCATCCAACGGTACTGAGCTAATTCAGTCCCAAATGTATGTAAAGTATTGTTACATAAAAACACTTTTAACTTACCCGTAGTGACGTTTGAGAGAGACACCAACAAAACCAATATGGCGGCTTCCCATATTTGGACAGACGATGCTGAGTTCGTTGACCCCATGATGACGGCCAGGTGTTAAAATCTTCTCATCCTACCAGACAGAACAGATATGGTTTAAAGGTATTAGAAATGACATAAATATAGTGTTACCATTGTTGAACCCAGAAAAATATTGGATTTCGAATTAATGAATTTCGTGTTGTCTAAAATTAGTAGTTTTAAGTACGGGGTGAAAATGTGAAATGATAATAATAATTGGTCTATTGAGAGGAAATAGTGCTAATTTCTGCTAATAATTTTTGCCAAGGTTCCGCTGACCTAAATGTGTTTTTAACCGGTGTAGACTCACCCATTTGAGAATTTGTAAATTTGACTCCTCAAATTATCAAGACAAAGCAGAAAGTATGGGGCATATTTTTGATAAATTACAAAACGAAATTCTCCATGCTCAATTCAAATACCAAAATATATTTCTTAACATTCCTTATCATGAAAGTCAAAACATGATCAACCTGCAGTTATAACCCCATAAATGAATATGACATGCCTAATATTTCCCCACTACAAATGGAAGCACCACAAAGCCATGAATCTGTCTCCTGTCATCATTTATTTATCAACATTTTGAGGCCAAACCCCAAGTGGCTTCAACTGTCAGCATCATGGGATAGCAAAGTTACCCTCACCGGGACAACGGGCGCCTTTATAGGGCACGCATGCGCTTTGATCGATTTATAGCCATTCTTCACATAAATCTGTCTTCTGTCACTACAATTGTTGCTTTAGGCGATGAACCGCGATAGTATATTAGATACATCCCATATTTTTGCACACATACAGGAGAAGTCGTCATTGGATATGGCAGGGACAACACTAGTAGTTTAGGTACCCCCTGGGCTTCGATACACAGGGTACATTATTTATTCCTTATTATTCATTATTTATTCCAACAATTCATGACTAGATATGAAGACGGCACACTCAAATGATCTCAACTTATTTTTATGCCGCCCCTAACAGAGGACAAAAACATGACAGAAAACTAGAAAGGCCGACATTTGCTTTGGAGCAAATACAGCAATGGCTTCACCACATTTTACGACATGGCAGGGAAAGAATGAGAAACACAAGGGAAAACAATGCTTTACATTGATATAACTATAGTATGAAGTAACATACAACTAAGACTACAACAGTTGGATAGCTATTCCCTACATTATTGGTTAGGATTTTAATTGCATAATGCAAACTGTTGATTTTCAAGAAAAAAAGAAGTGTTCATGCCCCGCATTCCAATGCTGGAGCAGGAAAGCTTGAAATACCTACCAAAACACTTGAATACAGACATACTGTCAGTATGGAATGGATCTGAGCAGGTATTAATTAAGTTAAGCCTGTTAAATTCCAACAGCCAATCAGCAAGGAGAATAGAGGAAAGCTGCATACCTATTGGTTGATGCCCTGCATTCCATTGTGATGACTCATGCCCAAATGTGGTAACACTGCACACTAACTCAGTAATACATTTGCTATAACACAGCCAAAAAACTCAAATAAAACCATTCTAAAAGCCTGTACCACAAAAATTTAAAAAACGCCTAGGGGTATTTGCCCACTGTACCTCCATACCAAATTTCAGGACCTTAGGCCCTAAAATGAAGAAGCTGAATCCATTTAAAAAATGGCAGGAGAAGAAGGAGAAGGAGAAGGAGAAGAAACATCAGAAAAAGCAATATGGGTTCACCACCACTTCGTGGTGTGGTGAACCCATAAATACTCCTTTTCACATTAAAAGTGAGTTAAGTGAGGAGTATTAAGTGCCTTTCTCAAGGGCACAAGATCGGTGGCATGTCAGGACTCAAACCCGGGACCTCATGGTTCCGAGTCGAGTACTCTGCCGCTACGCCACATGTGACCCCACAGGGTACACATCACACAAAGGCGGAAATTACAGTATATTCAACAATCCTGCCATGGAAGGTTGGTGGACACTGCACCCTGTTCTTTACTCACAGCGAATACAAAAGGTTAAGGTCCGAAGGGGTATAAGGCGGTTTATATTGCATCCGTATCCGTATCTGTGGTATTACCGCTACAGGCTTCGCAGACACGCGGCAGCTGCCGGCTATATTGCACTTATCCTACGTATGATGTAGCGGATCAGTTACATGTAGACACAGTTGACTAACAATCCTTTTACCCAGATCATACCATGTTACTACCGGCTATACTAACGACTGCTCCAGAGGAATTTAATTACTTTGTGAACAGCTAGACTAAATCCAGCGGTCTGGCCTGGATTTGGGCACTTGTATACTACCAGAAAATCGCCAAACGCAAACCACTGCGCAGAGAAATGTGGAAAGGAGATACAACAATAGTGTTACATTATCAGAAAACGCATGGTAACTATAACAATCTTGTGATCAAGATGTACAGTCGACACCGAAAATTTGGAGGTACGTAATCTACCTTACAAAAATACAGTCACTGATCGAAGAATTTCTACTAACTGTTAATTCTACGTGACTGATGAACCTCTTCAACGATATAACAATCTTGATTTTTTTTTCGTTCTGACGAATACACAATAACTGTTGTTTCTTTTATAATATCTTGATCGATACAGCAAAAATGTGGGATCTATTTCAAACTCGAATGCATACAAAGAAAGGCACTGCATGGCGTACTAATCAACATGTGCGTAGCTTATTGTGAATCACTGTATTTATTTCAACCGATTTAACTCATGGGTTAACGGTACGTTACATCCGCACAGACACAGCCTTTCTGTGCTTTATTCCAGTGTTGTGAGCCCACAAAAATAATGATGAAATTCAAGGTTTTCTACATGTTTTACGGCACCTATAACGTTAACAAGAACTATGAGTTTTTTTATACCTTGACCAATGTTCTTTGGATCTACGATCTAATACCTAAATCTATACGTTTTCCACATTACAAGTAAAACGAGTTTCGCTCAGAATAAGGAGAATCTGATTTCTTGATACTAGTACATTGTACTACCTTTCTAGCCAGGAGGTAAGGATGTCATTATGCATGTATGACCAGACGTGTGTTAGGTCAGCGCTACATTGGGCGTATCCCTCCTTAGAATGGCTTAGCTTGTAGTTGAAGTGACAATACTAACAAAAGCTCCTCTATCGCCAGGGGTCTTTGCGACATTTCATGGGGCTGTGCCAAGAATTTTAGCCTCTATCAGGCTTCAGAGGCGACTGGAAAGTTTGGTCAAATTGACAGATAACCGCCGATGTTCAACGCTCTGAAGCGCATACTGTACTACTTTAGCGGGCTATTTCTCCTAGCAAGTTATCTGTCTGTTTGGCCAATTTCTTCTCTTTTCAGCTAACTCTGAAGCCTGGAAGAGGTTACAAGAATTTTACTTGAAAGCCCATGGCCATATCAGTTAAGATGAAAATAATGTAGAACATGTAGAATATAGCATGACACTACACGTGCGTGAGCTATATATGCCGCATTGGTCTACATACCACATAGTGATGCAATTTTTGAAGTTAAGAGTTAGATGTCTTGTAAGATACAGAAAACTCACCTTTGCAAAGTTAAGATGACGGGATTCAGGCCAAGCGATCACGGAAACGTCTTTACTCGTTACTCCTTAGAAACCTCCGCCAAGACTGTGCCAAGTGCCTAAAAGAGTGGAAACTCCCACACTATTTAATTATGAAGCACCCTTAAGTAGATTGTTCCCACGGCCCAACCAGGTGTCGTAAGATGATGGACGAAACCAAAGGGTAGAAAGGGGGTCGCGGTAAGCTTGCGTGCTGAAAGATATGAAACACAAGTCACGGAATACTTTTGAGCCATTACATGCAAGTAACAGCACGTAATGAGAGATAGCCGTATTCACTGCGAGCTATAGTGCTATGAGTTATGGTTGAAATCGTCGCTGATTGAAGTTAACTGGCGTTTCGCCTTCACTTCGTTCGAAGTTCTCATCTATTATTTAGACCTAAAGTGCTAGTGAAGAAGAATGATATTGTCAATTTCACGGTCAGATCATGTATTCCCATGTCGGTTACTACAAATGCCACCACATGCCCCCCTCCCCTTCAGTTATCGGGTTATATTTAAATATATCATTTTTTGTAAATACATGTTAGATTCATCTACATGTATTTACCGCAATTGTGAAGGGTTTTTCCTAGAAGTCAACCCGGTGGCCAGATTGTAAGGGAAGGACCTGTACTCTTTTGGACTAGTGTGGTGGGTTCTTTAACGTTCACCAGGCATGGCTCTCTTCAAGCAAAGACAGTCCGAGAGGACGTCCCTAACCAAAGCTCGGTGCTAATTTTTTACCACAGTCGAGTTAGAAACTAGGGGTAAACATTCAGTATGTGTATACGCCTACTATAGATGTTGGACACCTACGTAATGTGTACTATCAAATATATTTCGTGGGTTTCGCCGATAATGTTTACGTGTATAGAGCACAAGATAAATGAACTCCAATGACACTGACATTTATGAATACTTATCGCTGTATAGGTCTCATCCTTGGTGTAACCGGCGAAGCTCCGTAGAAATTCATGCGTGTAAAACCGACCTGACACTTCACCTTTGAGTTAATCCTTTGGGGATTATCTATCGATTTATTTTGTTGGTATAAAAAGTATGTCGTTCATTGTGAATAGAAAATAATCATTCTGATAAGCGAAAATCTATTGACACTATGTAGTTATGACTATTAGGTCTCCTTGCATACATAACGATAAAACCAGTATATATTCAGTGTATACTAGAAGATGGATTTATTACACATAAAAAACAACATTGTCGAGAAGCGCAAATTCTTGTCGTAAAGCTTGTCAGAAGGGATTATTTCTCCAGTAGCAAAACAAACAGAAGAATCCTGTCCATTGTACCCTTCACGCCGTGTCTTCCTACCTATCAGTGCACACCTGGTCTGGTGTGCGACGTTGCCATGCCAACGTGACCTGACGTAACGCAGTCTGTAGTAAAGTTAATCCGGCAGGAAGGGCGGAGACGTCTGGACAACTTAAGTGCGACAGACGGTCCCGTCAGGCGGTGAAGGGTGACAGTCACCCTTGCTAGGTGTGTCGGCGGCCCCTTTGATCACGGTTTGGCATGGTGGCGATGTCGTGAGCTGTCGTTGTCATCTAAAAGTCGAGATAGACATCTAAAAATGTGTTGTCACGCTAATATTCAAGCAGATGGAAAGCGAAGGATAATATCTTCACAGACATTCCTCAAAGTTGTAAGATCACGGTGTGAGTGCGTGCGTGTGTTTGTGTGTGTGTGTTTGTGTGTGTGAGTGTGTATGTGTGTGTGTATGTGTGTGTGTGTGTGTGTGAGTGTATGATTGTGTGTGTGATTGTGTGTGTGTTTATTTGTATGTATGTGTGTGTGTGTGTGTGAGTGTGTGTTTGTGTGTGAGTGTGTGTGATTGTGCGTGTGTGTATGTGTGTGTGCGAACTTAGTAATAGTTTCTTAAAAATATATATATACCTGCAAAGACGAGGCGCTTCCAAGCACGCATGAATTACAACAACGACCCCTATCGACAGGTACCCGAACTCATCTACTCTATCCAACTTTGTTAATATTCATGACGTCATAACCAGCTACATTGCACGTTACTCTTTGCCCTTAGTAATATGCGGCTCGAGATGTCTCACTGAGTGACGACTGCGGTGTGATACATGTCGGTTAAAAGAATGAAGGATGGATACTGCATTTTAATGATCTTTTTACACGAAATTACAAGTTCACAAAAATATAATAAGAATGCCAAATTTAAAATCCTTGAATGGAATATGCAATAGGCATATCGGGCAGCCAGTATGTAATTAAAGTACAAGACACTTAAACGTATGATATAGGCGGTCCCAAGTTAGCAAATACTCCAATATAGCCGCAGGTGCTCTCTGTGCACTGTGTAATCTGTTACGTCATAGCTGTGAATGTTGCACCTCATTGGCTGGTATGTGGACCGTACCACAATGGACGATCCGTGGGGGTGCAGGACTACAAGTTAGTCTATATCTAGACTGGTTTGTACATTTGTACATTACAATAGAGTATAATATTAGTGCAGCACCTATGTTACATACGACCTGGCTAACATAGTTTTTTTTTTGCTCTCGAAGAGATCTGCTTTGAGATTGGGTTCCGTCAGCTGTTTACACAGAGGTTCAGCCGAACGTTCGCACGTTTGATAATATATTTGTACAGCGTTATACCCACGTTCCGTTAGCACACAGTACACGCGTTGTGTTTACAATATAACACCATTTACCGCTGTAGCCTTGACTAGGGCCCAGGGCCTCGTATGCCGTATGGCTACCTTTTTGCGAGCATCTACTACAAACTTGAAAACAGTAAATAGTTGTATTACATTCAAAGTATTATATTTGTATGTTCCAATGACACTGTATAACGTTTTTGTTATACGAACAATTTGGTAAAATGCCCTGAACACATAGTACATATAGCCAAACAATACAGACCCAATGTTACATGTTTTAAGTTAACAGCCGCAAGTCCTTTTCCGCCAGATTTAATTTTCTTTGACAAGTGACGTCACCTGTCTTTTTTTATATTCAACCACGTCTTGCAAAGTAACATGTCTCATACATACATACATACATTTTTAATGGATAAAAAGGCAACTGCCTGTGTGATCCATATCTGAAACCTTAAAACTACTACATTACAATAGATAAATTACAAAAATATAAAATATACATTGTCCTCGCTAATACATGTACTTTGGCGATAGTTACTTAAACGTTCAGATTTACAATATTAGAGTTGTACTTATAATGTCAGAGTTCAGAGTTGTTATGATCAAGTTATAATGTCCAGAGTTCAGTAGTTTCTAACATTAAACGTTCAGATTTACAATGTTCAGAGTTGTACTCGTCTTGTAATGTCCAGAGTTCAGAGTTGTTATGATCAAGTTGTAATGTCCAGAGTTCAGTAGTTTGTAATATCCAAAATGTCAGAGTTTGTAATGTTCAAAATTCAGAGTTGTAATGTCCAGAGTTCAAAGTTGTAATGTTCAGAAGTTGTAATATCTAATTATGTGTATTCCGTCCCCCTCCAGTAACTGTCCAGTCTTGACTTAAAGAGTTAACAGTGTCTGCTGCCACAACATCTGCGGGAAGGCTATTCCAAGCATTTATTGCTCGTACACTAAAAGAGTTTGATCTAGTTAACTTCTTCGCTTGTGGTTTGGCGATTTTTGTATGGATGGCCTCTGGTACGTCCATCTACGTTTAAGTTGAACAGCCGGCCTGGGTCGACACGGTCGAAACCCTTGACGAACTTGAAG